AGTCTTACGATCCAATCCTGAGAAATACCACACGGTACATATATTAGGTCTTTAGGGAAATCGCTAAGTAGCGAAACAGCCAGTAAGTGTGATGAAATGAAAAAATGAAAACTTATGGTATTTCAAAATTTGAATTTTAGAATTAAGAACAAATAAAAACTATACAGTCGTCCCTAAAGACACATTTTTTCCTGTAAATCTGCAAATACTTATTTTATCTTTTTGTTAACATTTGTTAACTTATTGCTGATAAATAAAAAATAATAATCGTTACTTCAATTCTACAGAAAACCGGGTTCTGGTTATCACTGTAGAAAGTAATTGAGTCTTTGCCACAAATTCAAAATTTCTAATTTCTATTTCTTTACAACCTTCATGGTCAAAAGTTTGATATTTCAAGCTTAGATTATTTTGTCTAACAGAATTCATAGTTTGAAATATCTTTGGGTTGCATAGGTATAAGGATTAAAAATCAAAGTTTGTGGTAAAAACTCAATTCCTTTAAACAAATTGATTTACGTTCTTTAAAACATCATCGATGGAAAGTTAATGGTTGATTTGATCAAGTTATTTGTCTGAGAAACCACGACATATTAGCGGATATTTTAATTAAAACTTTAGTGAAACTATAAAATAAATATTATGCTTGTTTTAAAATTACACTTGGGCGGTAGGTCACACAATTTTATCTTTTTGTGAAATGCAGAAATAAGAATTTCTCGAAAATCCGCGAATTTAAAGCTTTAAATGGGTCTGTCTAGTGTTTTCTTGCAATTAAATTTAATTTTAAAATATTTTCGCGTTATGAAAAATAATACAGTTTAAAAAGTATTCTAAAAGGAAGGAAATAGTGTTGAATTTAACGAGTTTTAAATATGTGCTTTATTAAATTTTCAAATGTACTGTTTATTAAACAGTAGGGGGCTTTAAAAATATGACCTTTTGTTGAGTTATCTTTTAATGAATTTCGTTTAAATTCCAATTTATTAAATAATTTGAAACCACAAAAAGTTCACCACATTTTGGAAATGACAGGACTAGGGTTATTTTTTACTGTTTAATGAATCATATTTATAAAATTTGGTTGACAAATGAATGCTGCATATTATTTTAAAGGTCGTCTCTCAATTATTAATAAGTTCTGCTCTGTATATGTATGTATATAGAGATATATTCCAGGCACACAGCTGTTAACTCTTACACAACCTCCATATCTACCAGTGAACCTTCCCTCAGGTACCACACCCCTTCCATACTTAGGTACCACACCCATTCAATACTCAGGTACACACTCCTTCATACGTACTCAGGCACCACACCCCTTCTATACTCAGGTACCACACCCATTCTATACTCAGGTACCACACTCCTTCATACGTACTCAGGTATCACACCCCTTCTATACTCAGGTACCACACCGTATCACACCCCTTCTATACTCAGGTACCACACCCCTTCTATACTCAGGTACCACACCCATTCTATACTCAGGTACCACACCCCTTCTATACTCAGGTACCACACTCCTTCATACGTACTCAGGTACCACACCCCTTCTATACTCAGGTACCACACTCCTTCATACGTACTCAGGTACCACACCCCTTCTATACATAATTTTATAAACTTAGGTTTAACTCAATAACCTTTTTTCCCAAGGTTGCATAAGTAATTCCAAATAAAATCAACATTATTGTTGAGATTGGAGTGCGTGAGAGAAATTACCAGTTCCATGAAAGACGGTTTATTAGAACGTCTCTTTCCAAAAACATGAAACATGAAACTAAAACTCGAACTTTTCTAGATGCTGTAGACAGGTCTTGAATCGTTCAACTCAAACACCAGCAAATATATCAAGGTATAAAAAATAAATACAGTTTTTTTTAAACTTTGTTTTTCATGATATAAGAATTACGTATTAACTGAACTGTAAGATAAACGAAAAGATAAAAACTTGTTCTTGATGTAAATCACTTCTTTTTTATTCCGCAGTGCAAGAAAGTCACTTGTTGATGCTCCCGTTGGCCGGACCTTCGCAAAACTTTGTACCCAATACTTGCAGTTCGATTATGAGAAAAATTTTGATTTTTCGAACTGTTTTTTTTTCTTTTCTTTGGGTCAAAAACATTAAAATAATATATTCAACAGTTAATTTGTTGATTGGTTGATTAAACTTTTATTTTAAAATAGGTGTTGGCAATCCAAACTGTTACCAAACAAAATGGCGTTTAAAGGGATTTGAAACCTAATTTTAAGTGACCCTTCTTTGTCTGACCGACGGCAGAGTAATCTCAGTTTTCTCACTGAAAGCAAAATATACCGGGAAATTCACTAACTTGCCGCAGATGACTTCACATTCAGGGTGTCCCACGAAACATGGCAGTTGGTGAATAGTTTTCAATGTCGTCTTTCATGTAACTGTTTTAGTTATTTAAGACTTGTTGCAGCTAATTTCGTTAAACAAATCTTTTACCCAAATAATTATTTGTTTGAAATCAATTTACTATAATATTACTGCCATTTAGTATTTCTTATCATCATCTTAGGTATCAAACAACTTATCAAATAATGGAATAAGACATTTTAAACTATCCATCAACTGTCATGTTTCGTGTGAAACCCTGTATTTCCTTAGAATTTCTAATATAAAACTGAATGACAATATTTTTTTATAATATAAACCGACTTTCATACAAAGTTATTGAAAATTACAATTAAATAGGGATAACTTGATCAGTCAAAGGTGTCAAGGATTCCGTGTGAATCTAATGCGTGCTAATCTAAAATTTTAATCATTGCCCATTTCTTATTTCTTAGAGAAATCCTCCTCTGTTCCCGAAGGCCAGGTAGACCTATGGTTAGCTCCAGGGAGAACTTAAATGCCAGTGGCAGGAGGAGAGAGGAAATTGAACTCTCTCAAATAAGACCGGAGAGAGAATATAAAAATGGAACGGACACTAGAAGGAAACTAATACATTCTATTAAATCAAAAACAATTCTAAATCTTTAGAACATCTCAAGTCATTTTTTTAAATACAAATTAAGTATTACTTTACTATATTTGATCAACGACGACTAAATGTATTGATTTAAAGATTGCCGCGGCAGCTGAGCAGAGCTTATTTTGGCGCCAAACTTTACAACTCTGGCCCTGGCCTAGGTAAGCAACAAAATGGTAAAAACTTTTACTCTTACCAAGTTTCAAGTTGTTCTTGGCTAACAGAGGAAATATATTAATGAGGATTGATCAGCAAAAATTGCAAAAATATATTATTTTTTTAAATTTTAAAATGTGAATTTATTTAGTGTCCAACACTGTGTCTGAAGACAAGGCCTCTAGGGTTCTCGGGATTGTATTTTGCTGTTTTATCCTTTGCTGGACTCCCTTCTTTGTCATGAATCTTGTCACCAGCGTCTGTGAGGTAATAAATATTAAATCATTTTTTTTATTCATCAATATGAGAATTAATAATTTTCTTTGCATTCTAAAAGATTAAAGCTTTTAACAAATTGATTTCTTTTTAAAATTTAAACTTTTTCCAATTTTTTACAAAAATATTTCAGAAATTTTTCTTTTGATTTCAAATATTAATTAAGTCGTGCTCTCCCCCCTCCTGGTTGGGTGATATAGCACTCTGGTCAGGGTGGTTCTCATCCACCATCAACCCCTTGATTTATACGATATTCAATGTCAAGTTCAGGTAATAATCCTTGATATATACAATATTCAATGTAAAGTTCAGGTAATATATTCCTTAATATATACAATATTCAATATCAAGTTCAGGTAATATATTCCTTTATAGTAGTTTCCCACTTTTTCAGTTGATTTAACTGGACATAACCGGCACTGCTTATCTTCGCAATATCCAAACATAAGGTTATCCATATTTGACGGGGGTAATGGATCAGATTTAGATATAGGACTGGTCTCGGATTCAGTGCCAGACTCCTCAGAATCACCGGGGTTAGGGTTAGGTTGGGTTTTAGGCTCTGGATCAGGTTCAGACTCGGAGTTTGCATGTTTATTATTCCCGTCCAGCTGAGGAATAGGGGATGATACTAACGATTGAGAGTGTGTCTTTCTCTTCTTTTGGGGGGTTAAAGTTGAGATTTCTTCAACATTTGGCGGAATCACAATGGACTGGGGGCCTCTCACAGACCTCTCCTCAGATTGCGGAACTTTCAGGGGTCTCTCTCCGGACTGGGAGTTTATCATAGGCCTCTCCTCGGACTGGGGAGCTCTCGTGGACCTCCCCTCGGACTGGGGAGCTTTCCCGGAACTCTCATCGGACTGGGGGGCTCTCATGGATCTATCTCCGGACTGGGAGGCTCTCATGGACCTCTCCTCGGACTGGGGGGATTTCACGGAACTCTCATCGGACTGGGGGAATCTCATGCACCTCTCTCCGGACTGGGGGGCTCTCATGGACCTCTCCTCGGACTGGGGGGCTCGCATGGACCTCTCCTTGGACTGGGAGGCTCTCATGGACCTTTCCTCGGACTGGGGGGCACTCAAAGACCTCTCCTCGGACTGGGGGACTCTCATGGACCTCACCTCGGACTGGTGGGCTCTCACGGACCTCTCCTCGGACTGGGGGGCTCTCATGGACCTCACCTCGAACTGGGGGGCTCTCACGGACCTCTCCTCGGACTGGGGGGCTCTCATGAACCTCTCCTCCATCGGGGCGGTGACATTGTGGTTTGTGTTTTCACATGTTCTCCTCTTTATTCTTTTCCTCCTTCTCCTTCGGGTTCTTAAGGACTGAGACCATGGAGCTTGCAATTTTGAGAAATTGAAGTACTCAATACCTTCTCTGAACCACAGTTTTAGCTCCACCTCTACACCAGCTTGTAAACACTCCCTATATAATCCCAGAACTCGATGAGTAACACTCATTGTCAAGTATGTTAACTAAAGGTTGTGTTTATCTCGCCCCATAGCAACAGCTGTAGGGGCCACCTTGGGGACAGGTATCATACCAAAGAGAGAGAAAGAGATAGGACCTTCCTGCTGAAATGCCGGTACTGAACTGAAATGCCGGTACTGAACTGAAATGCCGGTACTGAACTGAAATGCCGGTACTGAACTGAAATTTAGTTCAGTACCGGCATTTCAGTTCAGTAATATTAAACTTGATATCTACAATATTCAATATCAAGTTCAGGTAATATTAAACTTGATATATACAATATTCAATATCAAGTTCAGGTAATATTAAACTTGATATCTACAATATTCAATATCAAGTTCAGGTAATATTAAACTTGATATATATATTCAATATCAAATTCAGGTAATATTAAACTTGATATATACAATATTCAATATCAAGTTCAATTAACATTCCTTAAGGTATATACAGTAATAATATTAGGCTTTCTTTTTCAATTGTCAACATTTTCTTTTTCCATACATTGTAAAAAAAAGCTGCGGATTTTATAAAAAACATTCATCTATAAACCCTCCCTGGGGACATGTGAAGTCCCACACAAAAATTTGGGCCCGATCGGTTCAGCCGTTTGACGTACAAACACCCAGACAGATAAGCAAAGTATATTTATGGATATAATGTCAAGACATAGAATTGATCTTTTCATATGTTAACCAAAACAATTTTCTCTTCAATAATATGTTTTGCAACATCCTTAAACCTTAATAGAATATCCTCTTGCATTAAAAAAGTAAATAACATTAATATAAGTAACTGATTTATCTATAAATATATTTTTGCTTGTCTGGGTGTTTGTTTGTGTCTAAAAAACGGCTAAACCACGGGCAGCCGTAGTACATTTGACTTTCCGAGCCGGGTCAACCTTTCCGGACCAGTTTGTCCTGTATTGCCTGGACATTGCGTAAATAAAGCAGACACTCAATAGGATTAGCCGGTGCAACAAGGTTGACGCGGTCTGACTTTAGGTTGAATTTACTTTTACTTAAGGATAAGGGGTGCGTGGAACTGATCTGGCCAAAAAATTGTGTTGGACCTCACGTGACTCCAGGGAAGGTTTATGGATGATCGAATTTTCAAAAATTTGCCTCTAACAAACTTCGATTTTTGAAATTTTGAAAATCCACGAAATGTTTGTTTGTATTTGTTTAACAATATGTACAAAGTTAAAATGTTCACAATTAATATAAAAGATGGGCGCGAAGCGCTATGTAAGTCTTGTTTACATATATGTATATGTATAAATGTCCAAAGACAGGGAGTTAATTTAATTGCCATAATTCCGCTTTCGGAGAATATAATCTTTCGTAGTTTTAAAATTAAAGTTAATTCTTCTTTATTTCTCAAAAGTTTAGAAACCATTTAAATTACGCAGGATTATTTAATCAAAAGTTCATGCTGAGATATCTCTACAAAAGTTCCTAACCCCCGTCCGGATAAATTTTCAGATATATGATTATATCGCGATAGTATTCTTTTACAAAATTTACTTTAATTCTTTTATTTCAGACGCTGCTTTGTCCGTATATTGAAGTGTAGGTTTGGTAGTGGATACAATACACAGAACTCTATGTTTTTCTCTTAGATCAGCTTATCAGCTTGTTTGATCAACTTATTCCAGATCAGCAAATCCCAGATCAGCTGATTCCAGATCAGTTGATTTCCGATCAGCTGATTCCAGAACAGCTAATCCCAGTTAAACTGATTCTAGATCAGCTGATTCCGAAACCCCTAATCCCAGTTCAACTGATTCCAGATCTATTGATTACAAATCAGCTGATTCCAGATCATCTGATTACAAATCAGCTGATTTCAAATCAGCTGATTCCAGATCAGCGGATTCCAAAATAGGTGATGCCAGATCAGAAGATTCCAAATCAGCTGATTCCAGATCAGTTATTTTCAGTTTAACTGATTCCAGATCGGCTGATTCCAAATCAGCGGATTCCCGATCAGCTAATTCCATTTCAACTGATTCCAGATCAGCTATAAATTCCAGTTCAACTGATTCTAGATCAACTGATTCCAGATCACCTAATACTAGTTCAACTTATTCCAAATCAGCTATACCCAGGTCAACTGATTCCAGATAAGCCGATTTCAGATTTGCTAATTCCCAATTTGCTGATATTAGTTTAGCTGATTCATGATAAAACGGATAATATCAAAAATAACTGGTGATTGATGCCTCTGCTCTTAGTCAAGTATTTCGTCGATATTCAATTAAATTGTAATATTTATAATTAATCATTCAAGTGACTGGATATTAGAATCTTGAAACTGAAGTTTGTTGCGGATTTGTTAAATGTCTTCTTTATAAAAATCAGTCAAAATATTTGAGACACACCATATCTCAACCTATATAAACTGTGTTAAGAATCAAGAAAAGTATTTTTAAGAATGAATATCGGATTTTCCTTTCGGTTATTAAATTTGTTTACCTTAGGATTTTCCCATAGCTTTTCAAGCTTGTATTGTATCATTGTATTGTTGTTTGATGTTTGTTTGCTTTAATGCTTATACATTTATATTTCGATCAGAAATCCTAAGAGTGGGGAGTGGGGACACATTTTTTACTGCTCTGGCCAATCCCACTTTCTCGTTATAAAGGAATTGTCTTCAGTGTAAAAAAGATTCACTTAAAATTAAAAGACTGTATAGACGCAACTTAAAGGATTCACAACGGTACCTTTAAATTGATTTCCTCGATGGTATCTGCAGCATTAATCCACAACTCACAATTCTACCTAAAGACCACAATTGAGATAAATCAATTTTTGGCTGGAAAAATAAGGATTTCTTTTGACTTTTGAATATAGGTTTAAGGTTCAAGTTGTGAATCTTTATAAAAAAACTGTTTAGTATTTTTTTAGCCAATATTCTAGAAAGTGTAAAAAAAAGTTAAAAAGTGTTAAAAAAAATATATAAAATGTCTCGTTTTTCTGAGTAAATGTGGTGAATTATATAATCCAGTCAATGAGCATTGAACAGTGCTATGTATAATTAAAAAGCTTAATTAAAGTGTAGAATAAGAAACTAAATGGCCCAGGGGGGATCTGAATAGTTTTACAAAAAGAACCCATCTCTTTAAGAAAATAATTCTTTCAACAATATTAACTCGAGGGACAAAACCTTGTTTAAAACTCAAGTGGGGGGAATCAGAGGATTGTATTATTAATTCCAATAATACTTTGGGTTTGTGTTAAAAAGTAAATCTCAAATTCTAAAAAAATATGTAAATGTAACTAATTCTTAAAGATTTTATTTTGTAAAATATCGATGGAGAATCGAAACCTAATATCGTTATAAAAAAATTTAAATCTCAAATTCTAAAAAAATATGTAAATGTAAGTAATTCTTAAAGATTTTATTTTGTAAAAAAATCGATGGAGAAGATGTAGAATCGAAAAATAATATCGTTATAAAAAAATTTATCTCATAACTTTGTAAAAAAAATGAGGGTAAAATCTCCAATCCCAAGTTATTTTAATCAACAGTGCTGTGGATTATTTATATTAAATAATCTAAACTAATTGATCTCAAATTATCAAATTATTGTAAATGTATGAAAAAAATGTAGATGTTTGTCTTAAAGGTTGTCGTGATGCAGTGAGACCTATAAAACTGTGAAATAAAAAAATTACATTTAAGCAATATGTGTTCTGTGTTCCTGTGTTCCTGCGTTCCTGTGTTCCTGTGTTCCTGTGTTCCTGCGTTCCTGTGTTCCTGCGTTCCTGTGTTTCATGTTTATGGTACTTTTCAAAATCCCACATTTTTATGGACCCCACTGTAGTAATAACTTTGTAGTTTTCAGTATCATAATAATGATTCATGTTTAATGTTTATCATTAATTAAAAATTCATTATACTAAATGTCATTTTGCTATTAGTGAGTATATCGTATACAATATACGTGGCAAATAAACTAATTTAACAAATTACCATTTTTTGATAAATTATATTTCCCCCGCAAACTAACCAAACAACAATTTTAATAAATAGCAACTTTTCCATTGTTCAAATTGGAAAATTTAAAGGGAGTGTTCGCGAAAAATGAAAGGGTGTAGGCTTTCGTCGAAAATAACCTTACTTCTATCTGTTGCGTTGAAAACGACTCATAAAAAATTTCCATTTTGTAAATGGAATGATCCGGAAATTTGTTGCGTAAACCGGAATTCCGGGATAATTCCGGTTTACGTCACGTAAACCGGAAAAATTTCCATTTTACGGAATGGAAACCGTAAAATTTCCAGTTTCCATTTCGTAAACCGGAAAAATTTCCGGCTTCCATTCCGTAAACCGGAAATTTTTACGGTTTACGTAACGTAAACTGGAAAATTTCCATTCCGTAAACCGGAACTTAAAGAATTTTTCTTATTTTAATTAAATTCATATTTACAAAGTTTGAAAATGTTCCGGAATTCCGGTTTTCCGGAACCTTTTCCATAATGGAAATGGAAAAAATTTCCGGATCATTTCCGTACGCAAACCGTAACCCGGAATTCCGGTGGAAACCCTACTCGGATCGTAAAAATATCAATTTAATTCCAAACAAAGCGTCACCTTTAATCATCGATAATTTTTAAGTTTGGAAAAACTTTTGGATTCTCAAAAAAGTCAATCTTTCAAGTAAAGGAAACCCCTAAAAATACGTAAAAATGCATAAAATCCTAGAAAAATTAATTGGTATCACATTGCATTGCAAATATATCAAACTTAATTGGGCTTTTTAAAGGGAATGCAGGCTATCAGAAGATTTGGATTAAGTATGAATAATATTCAAGACTACAGTTTAAAAAACTTTTTCAATGTATAGTTTTTTTTACAAAAGTGACATGCCATTTTATGCTGTAGGATATCAATGTAGGAATTATCAGAATTATTGGTCAGGGATAAAGATTTTATTTTTTTTACTTTTAAATCTAGATTGGTATTTTTTTTAAATTACATTTGTAAAAAGAATACAAAATTTTTTATAAATCACGAATCTGTTTTTTTTCCTAACTCTTAGTGATTAAACTTTTCTCCTTATTTCACTATTTCTGAATATACAGACTTCTGTTTGTCTTCTAAAATTCTTATTTTTTTGTAATTTAAAATGCAATTAAATAATTTCCTGTGTTGGTTTAATTATGTTTAAACAGGGTTACCCAGGAAGGATTGAGACATTCTTCACAAAAGTTTCTTTTAAGAAAGAAACTCTGTATTTGAATCCAAAACCTTATCTTTCTTTAATTAATATCTATATTATTAATATTTTACACGTTTTGATGTTTAAATTGCTGGGTAAAATGTCCTTCATAAAATAGGAAAGAAATGGGTTAATTTGGGATTTGGTAATAAAGGTTTTAGAAATTTTAACTTTTATTGCCATAAACGATTAAAACCAGTTCTCTAGAAACCTTTAACTATAACCCTAGCGTAAAATATTTCAGATTTCTTTTTGAAATCAAAAAGTCTCTTTATCCCCCACACCTATTAAACAAAGCTGTCTCATTAAAAAATAGTTGAATTTGATATCAAATGTATTCCTTTATTCATTAAATTGTGAACCTAAAGGAATTGAGTATTTTACACCTGTGCAACCTGATATTTTAGACCTTTGATAATTCAAACTTAGATTATTTGATCCAAAAAGATCTACGACGTTGGGTTGCGAAGGGATTAGGAAATTAAAATCAGAGTTTTCGGCGAGAACTCAGTGATCCTTTGTATCAAGTTTGCAAGTGATTTGTTGTACATCATGGAGTTTTACATCGTTGAGTTTTACATTGTTGAGTTTTACATCGTGGAGTTGTACATCGTGGAGTTGTACATCGTTAAGGTGCACATCGTTAAGTTGTATATCATGGAGTTGTACATCGTTAAGTTGTACATCGTTAAGTTGCACATCGTTAAGTTGTACACCGTGGAGTTGCGCATCGTTAAGTTGTGTATCGTGGAGTTGTACATCGTTAAGTTGTACATCGTTAAGTTGTACATCGTTAAGTTGTACATCGTTAAGTTGTACATCGTTAAGTTGTACATCGTTAAGCTGTGCATCGTTAAGTTGTACATCTTTAAGTTGTACATCGTTAAGTTGTACATCGTTAAGTTGTACATCGTTAAGTTGTACTTCGTTAAGTTGTACATCTTTAAGTTGTACATCGTTAAGTTGTACATCGTTAAGTTGTACATCGTTAAGTTGTACTTCGTTAAGTTGAACAATGTTAAGTTGTACATCGTTAAGTTGTACATCGTTAAGTTGTACATCGTTATCGTTAAGTTGTACATCGTTAAGTTGCACATCGTTAAGTTGTACATCGTTAAGTTGTACTTCGTTAAGTTGCACAATGTTAAGTTGTACATCGTAGAGTTGTTCATCGTTGAGTTGTACATCGTTAAGTTTTACATCATTGAGTTGTATATCAAGGAGTTGTACACCGTGGAGTAGAATTAAAATGTGTGTGTCATGGTTTCATTCAATGTTTACAGTTTAGTTGTTTATCAACAATATCTGATTGTAAATAAATCGATTTGCACATTTGCTTTTATAATAATATAAAATAAACCGTCTTTGTCTTTATTTAAACTGGAGTTCTTGAAATTTGAAGGGAAATCAATCCGATTTAGATTGTCATCTTTAAGTTCAAGATCGAATAAAAAATTGAAATTATTCATTAAAATTTGAACTTATTATTTTGATTATCATCAAAAGTTTTTGGAACTTAACACTTCTATAGTATCATTAAACAAAAGAGTTTTGTTTTTGAAATATAAATGTAAAATATTAGCGATTTTTTTATAAATGATAACAATTCTGGTTCAGTTAAGGAATTAAGTCTTTGTCACAAACTCTGATTTTCTAATCCATATATCTTTGCGGTCGGATGGTGTAAACCTTTGATATTTCAAACTTAGATTATTTAATCAAAAATAATTCAATGTTTCAAATATCTTGAAAATAAATTTTTTAAATTCTAAAAAATTTGACAATCCTTTTAAACGATTGGCACTAATACTAATACTGAGGTCTTCGGATAATGATAATATTACAGATCGTGCACTGGATTTGATTTGGGTTTTTTCCTGAACCCCCCCCCCCCCCCCCTTCATTAAAATGGTCATTAGAATACCCCAGAATTAAAAACGATTTTTAAAAAACTTAAAATAATTTTTCTTTTAAACAATATTCTTGAATTCAGAGTTTTCCAATTTATTTTGCCGAGTGAAGGAAAATTCAGATCGAAAACTTAAAACGGAATTCAATTAAACTAATTAACTATATTCGAAATCTTTCTTCAGTTTCGCACTAAGAAGCCAGAATAGACTAACCATAGTTTAATAACAACACATTAAGAACAATAGATGTCGTCTTATCAAGAGTTAGGGCTACAAAAACTTTACGTTTACATCACTGGCAAGGTCCAGGCGACACTTCAAGGTCGGGTCGGTCTCTGTAAGATGTAAGATATGGTAAAATCAAAGGTTTGATGTTAGACCATTTCTGCAGGGTAAGTAAGAAAGCTCAACCAATTAAAAATAATAAACTACTCTTTCATATTAAATAAGAAATGATACTACCAGTACATAGTGTTAATCGATCGGAAATAGACAGTTAGTATACTGCCTATGGGCGACATTAATGGGTAATGAACGAGAACAGTTTGGACAAATTTACTCCATAAAGAGATTAAAGACAATTTCCCCCATAAAACTACACTATGAATAAAATGTTATAAGAAGATTGTTGCGTTTCAACTGATATATATATATATTTATATAATATATATAAATATAAATGAGACATGCATCGAAAGAATGTATCATATGTCGTCTTGACAATTGTTCAATGGGGTTTATACTATTTTACGTAAATCTCAGTATTTGCGAAAATAAATAAATAGCCATGAATATGCGGGAACAGTTTTAAAGATCTCCATATAATCATTTAATTAAAAAACTAAATACCTTCAACATTCTATCATCAGAAAGTGAAGAATACGACATTTGATGAATTCTTTCGATGTATTGCTTATTTAGGTTTAACTGTATATTTTTTTTTAAGTTTATTAAACCATCTAGTGAGCTAAAGAATTGATTTCTCTCTCTTTAGGAAATATACTACCTGTAACTTGAAGTCTGAGAGTTTATCTGTCTTGAATAGAAGCTCAATAAAGTTTCATGGAGTTGTAACTTAATCAATATTTACTTACAATGATAAGCAGAAAACTCAAAAATAGAAAGACGACTTTTGGATTCAAGTTATAACTTTAATAACTCCAATGAACATGAGACACGGCAGTTTTGCAGTGTAAACAGACCCATTTCATTATATTAGTGTTTTAATACATGTCTAGTAAAACTATTTGCATTGTAACAACATCAAATTCATTTCAGTATTGCTAAAATGTCGTCTTCCTATTCCATCGTTTTCTGGTAATCACTTTTCTGTTTCAATATTTCTACTTTTGTACTTTACAGTTTATATATTAGAACAAAAAGTAATATATCATCAGCTTCTAACAAATCAAATCAGCACTTCATCCCGCGAGATAAATTGATAAATCTCCCCTCTCCCCAACCTCCCCCACTTATAATCATTCTCCCCTTACGTCCATTCAGTTAGTTTTTTATCCATGAAACCCACTTTTAAGCTTAATTTCCATTTCAAGCCTAGCAAGTGTCCCATATAAATAGGCAATACAATAATAATAATCCAAAGGATATTATCTATCCGCGAGAAATTGTGCGATGTAATTAACTATAGTTCTCTGACAATTAAACAAGACTAAATATGGAATAATTTATTGGCAATTGCCGCGGTCTGCATGTATCTGAATGGCAAGATATAAGTTAAATCAATGGCATTAAATAGCATAAGGAATAATAAATACGATTTGATTAAACGTCGTCTTAGAACTCCTGGTCAGGGTTGGAGGAACGGATAAACTCTAGAAGCTGATCAGAGTCTTCACAAATAAAGGGTTTGGTATGGTAACAGGCAATGTCGTGCCATTTGATTCCATCGCTGTAGATATCGTTGAGCATACCCATGCACGCCTCCACGCTGCCGTTGATGTCAAACTCTGCGTTGTCGGGCTGGGAGACGTTCTTTCCCTCGAACTGTGTCTTGTGTCCGGTATAAGACCAGGGTTGGTAGCTCCAGCCTGGAGGAGTAGAGTTGGTGGGCGCCATCTTAACTCCGGATCCAGACCAGAACCAACCGTTAACCCAGATGGGTTGAAGATCCTCACGGTCACATCCCTTGAAGTTGCACAACCTCCCTGAGGTCCAGATGTAAGGGAGGTCGTTGGTCTTCAGGAATTCTCTGATCATCTCCTCCTCTGTCGGTGTCTCCAGAGAGACGAGGTCCATACAGTATTCACGACAGATATTCCGTCCGTCCAACCAGTCAACCTTAATATAACAATCACAATGAACTAGAAAGAAGGAAGGAAGGTATTAATTGTGACCTCGTACACTAATTTCTTGTTTTGAATTTGTCACAAATATGAGAAAATCAGATTTATCCGGTAATATAATATAAATTTAAAATAGTTTTTCTTCTTCTCGATAGCTTTTCAATGAGAGGAGTTATGATTGAAGACATATAAGATTTCAATCTGACGTGAGATTTACTTTAGTTTGGCGTGGAATATGTACAGATCAGGTAATAAGAATAAAGGGAAGGGAACTGGTACTGGGCCGACTGAGACTGCCCATGGTATCCAACAAGCCAAAGAACAGTTTTTAACCCCAAAAAATGTAATCCATCTTTTATCTCTAAGGCAAAATCGTTGAAATTTTTAAGAAACAAAAGGCAGAACATAAAAAATCGAAAATTTGATATTATTCATTAAAATCAACTTTTAGCTCAACAAATCATCATGAAAATGACAAAGAAAGAGATAGTTTTGATAAATGATCAAAGTTTTAATAAATTATGGCAACAATACCTTATGATCAGTGTAGTTTTCGTGTTTTCCAGAGAACCAGTATTTGTGTCCACCAAGCTCAAAGTCATTAGGTCCTAAATTCATCAATTAATTAATTACATATTTTTGATTCATTTATTCGTTCATTTCAATTGTACAATCTGTATTTCTGTTTCGTAATTCTATGTGAGTTTTATATTAAAAGATATAAAACCACTTCTTTGGAATTCTTATCATTAAAACATAATAAAAGAGTTGAAAATGAGAATTTTTATCTTCTTCAATGCTCATTAAGATTCAAATCTTTTTTGTCCCATTGTCTCATTCATAATACCCTTGCGCATGGTTCTTTTCAAATCAAGGTTGGGGGTGGGAGGATTATAACACGCAAATGTAATTTAGTAGAAAAAATCATGAATTTGAAGGAACTAAATCATTTTACATTATGTCGTGACATATAAACCAAGCTAACGGTTCCAACCATTATACCTTTTCAATCATTTCTGAGATTCCTGGAAAATGATACTGAGGCCTATTTATCCAGAGCACTATACGCAGTGCATCTTTCATAGGATGCATTGCGTACACATCTCTGACCAAAGTGCATTGAGGGGTTTAACAGTAAATGTGAGATATATCTAGTATTGGTTGACTGTTAGCTTCTATACAGTATACACACACATTATATATTTGGTTTTAAACCTGTTTATTGTTCAACAACTGTAACCAGTGAGGCGACATTTTAAACTGTATCTCTGTTCATGTTATTGGTCAACCGTTGGTTTAAGGGTTCGTAATTCTTTTATCAAGATAAATTTATTTTCAATAGATCAATTTGAAATTTAATAAAAGAAGCAACTGAAAAAAATTAAAAACTTAAATTTTAATCCGATTTTTAGCCAAATTTTTAAATACTGAAAAATTGATTCATTTAAGAGAAGTTTTTTCAATAATTAAATGGACCCACAGGGCGTTTTATATTCAATATGTAATATTATAATCAATTTATAATGTTATAATCAATATATGATATAATAATCAATATATAATGTTATAATCAATATACAATATATTATAACATATACAATAGATACATTTTATAATTTTATCTAAAAATGTAAAATAAAATTAGATTTTAATGTGCAATATTTTCCCAGTATAGTTTAAACGTGTCTGTACTGTGTACTGTGTGTATGTAAAGTGGTCTAGGAACCAGAGTGAAGGTTTAATTGTATAATATCAACTATTAAACGTGTCTGTACTGTGTACTGTGTGTATGTAAAGTGGTCTAGGAACCAGAGTGAAGGTTTAATTGTATAATATCAACTATAATGATCAACCATTCTTAAAATTTTTATCATTATTTCCTGACAATACTTCCACTTTAAACTTCGTTTCCTTGTAAATTAAACAAAATTATATTATTTTGTCAAAAATCGAGCAAAAACAGGTCCCTAGCTAGGATTTAAACCAGGTCCCTAGCTAGGATTTAAACCAGGCCCGTAGCTAGGATTTAAACCAGGCCCGTAGCTAGGATTTAAACCAGGCCCGTAGCTAGGATTTAAACCAGTAATTTTTTTTGAGAGAAGTTTCTAAGTTTGTTTAAATGTTTAAAAGAATTTCGACCGAAAACCCGCTATTTCATTGAAAACCCTGAAAATAGGATTCTTCAACACGCTACCCTGATTAAATCAAGGTTTTGGCGTGCTGCCGGCGCCCCTGAATCTTTTCTCTTTTTTTCGTTAAAGCTCGCTTTGACAAATATATTGCGGGTTGACAGGTTCCATTCAAGGATAAATATATGAACGGGAAAAGTAATTATAAATTGAAATCATTATAAATCAATGCTAGCTACAATTGATACAATGTTTGTAAATGAAAAGATTATCTGAATTTATTCATTTTGTCAATTCTCACCAAGAAACACAAGACAAATGAATTTAAAGAGAAGTATTGTGGCAAAAAACCCCACCCCCACCACCCCCACTGACCCCCTAAAATATCCCACCGTGGGGGAGGGGGTGTGTGAAAAGTTAAACAATTTAGATTAAATTACTTAAGAATAATATATTAGTTACTTAATAATTAAATTATTTAAAGTTTACTCAATTATGAAATGCTTACTAAAAACAATCACTTGAATTAGATAATAATTACTTATCTTTTTGATTATTTAGAAATAACCTAAAATTTAATGATTACTCAATCTAGGAATTATGTAATGATTACTCAATAAAGGCATTGTGTAATGATTACTTAATCAAGGAATTGTTTAATGATTACTCTATCAAGGAATGGTGTAATGATTACCTAATTTAGATATTATGTTATTCTTTACTAAATTAAGGAATTTTTAATGGTTATTCAAAGATGGAGCTTTTATTGCTAACATAATCAAGGAATTGTTTAATGATTACTCAATTCAAATATTATGATCATCAAACCGAGGATATGTGTAATGACTACTCAATTAACGATTTTTCAATGATTACTCAATTAAGGAATTGTTTAAGGATTACTCAATAATGAAGTTTTTACTGATTAATTAATCAAATTTTTTTTACTCAATTACGAAACTATATAATGATTTAATCAATAAAAAAGGTAAATCTAAGAATCTAGGGTAAAACTGTAAAAAAATCTAAATTCTAAGTTCTAAATCCATTAATCCCTGAGACAATCAAATAAACCAACGGATTAATAAAATAAAAAGATTAAACTAAATGTATCAATATAATCTAAAGCTTACTCTGTGCACATTTCTCTGGATCTGGGAGGGAGAGCAGTCTTCCTGAAGTATCCTCTGTCGTCTCTTCTGGTTTAGTAGTTGTCAACTCCATAGGAATAGACAATGCTGCACCAACAGCCAAACTGATACCCAAGAACTTCAGCATTTCTCCTAAACAACAAAAAGATCGTTTCTATGAAAAATTTGGCGAAAAATCGATTTTAATTTGTTCAAAAGCACCAGGAAAAAATATTTTTTAAAACTTTCATTCTACTCAAAAATGATAAGCATTAGAAGAAATATTTCTGGAGAGTGCCTCTAGGACGTGTAGTTGTGTCAAGTTTATAAATAGAAAAGGAAACATTTTTGATTTTTTGGAGATTTTTTATTATCATGGATTTTAAAATTTTAAAATAAGATTACTTATCTAAAGTAAACAAAAAGCATTTTGAAATATAGCAGATAAAAACAATGTCCCCCCTCCACTCCTCGATAGAAGTCAAAATTAATGAATAAATGGATGATCACAAAGCTTACATAAGCAAACAGTTATACAAGTGCATCACCTACCCTCTATATTCAAGCACGCAGTTGCGTGTGCGTGTGTAAATGAAGAACTGTTTCCCCGGTACATCACCAAGGGTTTATATACCAACACCATAAGCTGGTGTTGTCCAGGCCTGGCTGTTGTAAGGCTCGGCACGACTGTTGCGCTACACTGAAGGTCACGCACAGCGAGTCATCTGATGTGGAATTTTAGAAAATAGCGAGTGCAGAAAAATCCTCGAAAAGATGTGTCGCTTGCGCATTTATGCAATGCGTGCATCCCACACTGCGTAAAGCATGTTTATGTAAACAAGTTTTCTTTTTCGTTCATCAGGACTTTAAAGCAGATCATCATACAATGCAACAATTTACAATATTAATGAAGAAAGGTGATTAACTTAACTACAGAGCGTCCCATATCCTATTAGCTTATCTCCAAGTTTTAACGTCGAAATAACCCCAAAATACTCCAAAAACCTAGCATTTTCCGCAAGAAAATTTTGTATTTGCCTTATTCAATTTGTCAAAATAATTGATTTTTCTTAAACTTTCTGATTAGTCCAAAAATTGTAATTTAAACCGATTGACGATCTAATATGATGTGAGACACCCTGTAGAATTCCCATCTTTTATATATATTTGATTCATAAACATTTGTATAAAATTATATGATATATATAATGGAAATACTTGTAAATCTGAAAATTCCTCATTAAAATTTTATGAAATGAAAGTAATAAAGTAAAAGAAAGGAAGAGATGGAATGGGAAGAAAGGAATAAAGGAAAGAAAGGAAAAGAAGGAAGGGAAGATAAGAAAGGGATTTAAGGAGAAGCAAAAGAAGAAAAGGAAGGAAATAAAGAAAGGGAGTAAGTTGGAAAGGAAGGAAAGGATGTGAGAAAAAATTAAACATAAGATGTAATATTGAATGCTAATAAAGTGGATAGTTAAAAATATTTACGCTATTAGTACACGGTTTTTACGGAAGGGGGGGGGGACGGGGATCTAAAAGACCAGGTGACGGATTTTGCGTCATCTGCGACAGTTCCGCGTCATAAACCAATACAGAGTAGAGACGCAATTTTGTAGTTCGATTCTTAATTTAAAACAAAAGTAAAGTAAATGCGTCCAAAAAATGGTAACAAAAGAACAGTTTCACAATTAATTTAAATTAATTAATTAAAATAATGTTCAATTCACGTATGATGAATCTTTATTGAGAAAAAAATCTACTTTTTTTAATTGAGGTTTTTAGATTCTTTATTTTATTTTACTAATTGTACTAATTTTACATTCACAAAAGATCTATGCAAGTTTTGCCAAAACAAATTCCACATAAATACTAAATATAAAAATATTTCAAATATATCTCTCTGATAGAGGAAAATATAAAAGGGGCTATTGAGGTCAGCCCCCCCCCCGGGATTAATGAAATCTAGGGCTTTACTTCCCCTTTCAATTTTGATTTATTAATTAACGTATGGTGTCACAGAAAAGGTTGGTCAATAAGTTTTTAGGAAATATGAGTCCGATTCATTAGACATTTTCTAGCTATGATTTAGCTGTGACTTCCACGCCTGGGTAAACTGGGAAATCACAGCTAAATCACAGATAGAACATGTTTAACGAATCGGATAATTGATTCTTTACAATACTGGGTTAACAAATTTGAATATCATTCATTGGGTTGGTACTGTTAATTGTGTATTGGTCATACAAATAAAAAGATTCTTATTAAAGGGATTGTAAACATAATTTAAAGTGAACCTCCATTTTAAGAGGAACATTCCCGATTCACAACAGTACCCTAGAAACTTTTATCTGATCCATGATGTGGAAGATAATGTCGTTTTTTCTAAAGCTTCTGAAGCAAACAATGGGCAAGTCACTTTTGCAGAGAAATCACAAATGAAAATAACAATTTTACAAAACAAAAACATGGATATCTAATTCATTCTTGCTAAAAAGCTTTTAAAGGTACCGTTGTGAATCGTTAACGGAAGAAAGCTTTGTTTCACCAGTACTAAGTTACAACCCATTTTTCAAGAAGACTTCAGATGCCGAAAATTAAAAATATTTTTTTATGAATTATAGTTTTAAAAATTCGTATTTGTAATAAAGAAAACATATTTTTGAAAGTACAGTACTGGGCTGGGAATACATAAAATAGTATTTCACAAAACAGATTTTTCGACATTTTGCACAAAACGTGAAGTGTTTATATTTAAAAACTAAATAAAAGCACAGTCTTTAATTTTATATTTTGAACAAAATCTATTTTGTAAAGGACTGTTGTAGAAGTTTCAAGATAAAAAGTGTTTTCTAGTTTGAAAAGTGTTTAATTCTGACAATTTATATCATTGTATTATATCGTAGATAACGCACAATTGATTAAATGATTAATTTTCGATGATAAAATTATGGATAATTCATGCTTTCTTGATCAAACAAAGCGTTTACGGGTACCTCTGTGAATCGAAATTTCCACTCTATAAATGGCACAGCTTTATCCAAAGCAAGCATTCTTTAGGAAAAAAACGATTTTTTGTCGATTCTTCTCATAATTACCGAAAGCTTGCCAATGCGTCGCAACGCGTCAACGTGGTCATGAAATACCAAATATGACTACTTGAATATATTATATAAGGCAGAAAATCACATGAAATTATAGAAATAGTTCCTTTGCTCTAGGTTATTATGTAAAGGATTACAAAAAAGGATTATATCTCAAAACTATAAAGTTAACTAACCATAAATGATTAATTATGATGATTAGAATTTTAGATATACAATACTGTTATATTTGATATGATTTATAAGGAGATGATTAACAATGCTGATATTAAGCATTGTTTGGATCTAGGCTTCTACTGTAATTAACCGAACAGTGTTCACGCGATTAGTAACAAATTAAACACTTGGATGGATTATTAACTTTGTTCATTGCACACATCTACAGGGTTTTTAAAAACATGACAATTCAACTTGATGGCAAAAAAGCAAATCTTTGCCTGCACAAACTCTGATCTTCTCATTCTTATACCATAGACCATAGATATTCCTGTTCGTTCTAATAATATTTGAAATATAAAATTTGCACACCATATTTGGTTGCAAAGATATAAATATGGATTAGAAAATTTGAGTCTGTGGCAAAGATTCAATTCCTTTATGTATGAGAAATTTAGTGCTTTCCAGAAACAGAAGAAAAACATAAAAAGTTAAAACTACAGACTTCCATATTCAATTTATTTTCATGCTGATATTTCTTTGAATATCTTTCTGTCTATCAAAGCTTACAACTTTTAATTAAGTTTTATAAAAAATGTCTCTAATCATAATGCTCAGAAGATCCTAGGTTTTACTACATTTTCCCCCCCCCCCCTCATAAACAAAAAGAAAGTTCAACATATGAATAAACTTTGAAAGTAAAAGATTTTCTAAGTTAAACATAAAATTAAAGTGATTTTCTTTGAAAGAAAATTCAAAAGTTTCCGTTTTAGTGTAAGTTTTAATTAAAAGAATAAAAGAATATAAAAGTAACTATTTTTATAAAATAATATTACTGAGCAAAATATTGATATCTATAAAATTGCAATACACCATCAGGATACTTTTAGGGTCTGAGGTTTCCGTAAAGTGAAAAAGATTGTTATCCTTTGATTAACGTTAAGTTTTTTATCATTCATTTTGTGTTTAGAATTCATAATTTTCTTTCCTGGAATGCGAGAAGCTAAGTGTTCAGGAAGAATTTAAAAGTTACCAACCTGTAAAATATTAAATTTTATATTCAGGCTTCAAAAGTTTTCACCTCTGAATTAAAAAATAGAAGTGGTTTAGTATTTGGAATTTCATTAAAAGTTCCAACCCCTATATAAAAGATAGGTTTCGGGAGAAGGATGTATTTAAAAGTTTTGGTCCCTGGACACACTTGACTGGTCTACCACTGTTGCACTCAATAAACTTGAGGGATGGAACCGCCAACCATGTAAAAACACAACAGTAAAATATCTTTTTATTAATATTTGTATTTTAACTTAAATATGCATTTTTCATATTACATTTCAAGAGGGAATAAGTTTAAAAAGATGTAGACTATATTTTTTAAAGGGTGCGTTCACAATTTAAAAATACTATAAAGCAATAATCAGAGCAGTCTCTGTTTTTCATATTTATATTAATAAGAATTGTTTTTGATCTCTCGATCCTCATCAGTCGATAAACATGTTTAAAGGGACTGTAAAGGAAAAATTAACATGGGGGTAGGATGAAACCTTGTCACGTGGTACAGACAGAAATCCTATGACCAGTATATTGCACTGCCATTGGCTGAAGTTCTGGTGACGTAATACATACTATACATACTATGTATAATTATATTATCAATTATATCTATTAAAAATGCAAAATAATAATTTAAAAATTATAATAGAAGCAAACCTGAGGTTATCAGGCTCCAGTGGGATATATATTTTCAGATTGGTTTTGTATTTGCTGAATATTACTTTTATACAAAATTGCATATATATGAATTTTCGTATAAATTTCACACAGTTTTATATCAATTTCTCGAGACAGGAATATCATATAGATGTTTTATATGTATCGTTTAACTCTTGAGATTCTCAAGTTTCAGCCTATACCACCTTTCATTTTTCCTTTACAGTCCCTTTAAACTCATATATATATACAGATATATATGTCTTTATAAATATATACTTTCCTGAACATTACAGAGATTTTTAAAAAGTTTTCCGTGTTTGTTGTTAAATATTTCTCCTGGTTCTCATCAGTTAGACTTAGGATACCATTACTCTATGGTAATCACGTCAAAATAAAGTAAATTGTGTACTCGTAAGATTGAAATATTATTTGTTTTTCATCAAGATTCATTTAAGAGCTATTGTGTAGAACAAAAATGTTTTGAATTTCTAATATGTAACCGGAAAATTTTCTTAACGAGTTTACGAAGTATTCAAGATAAGAAAAACGGATCTCACTAAGTAATTCTCTATTTTGGTCAGTTCTTCTCAAATCTACAGTTTTAAAGATCACTAGATTGAGAAGGGACGGATACAGGAATTTATCAGAGGATAATTTTCAAAAATGCGATGCGCCCAAGGGATTTTTCCATGTTCCCCTTTGAATTGTTATGGTAACAAGCGGAAATTAACCGGAAATTAGGGTTATCAACGCAAATTTACGAAAACAAATCATATTTTACATTATTTTAAGATTTTTTTAAATAAGAATTTTTCAAGTTAAAAAGTTTTATCTAATCTATCTGAGAAAATGGCAATTTTTTAAAACAAAAATCTATTAAAAACTTAAAATACACCTATAGACAATTTTAAAAAAGTTAATTTTTTTTGGAGTGCACAGTTTAGAAATACCTAGGCTTAAAACGTTAAAAATAATTAAATAGTAGGTTTCCCAAAACCGGGTTTCTAAAAATCTGTCAAAAGTTTTTGTTTCATCCAGAGTGACTCGTACAAAGAGTGTAGTTACTAGTTAGACAGGAAATAAAAACAAATTAATTGAAATATTCCGTTTTAAGGTAAACCACGATAATTAATTACAAAACTCGAGATGTTAAATTTATTTAATGAAAACCTTAATAATCCTTTGTTTCAAAACATTGAATTCTTTTAAATAAAAGATGATAGTTATACAATAGTAGATATCTTAATATAATTGACGATTTCAAATAGCTTTAATTATAGATCATCAAAGATTTTGTGAGCAACATAATAAATGTATTATTTATACAAAAAAAGAAAAGTTTCTGATTTCTTTGAAAAATGTAATCTATATTTTGCAACGTGTTAAATCTTTATATCTATCTATTTATTTATCTATTTTTCTGTTTGTATGTATGTCTGTCTGGGTAGTTGTCTGCCTGTCTGGGTGTCTGGCTATATATCTGACTGTCTGTCTATCCATATAATATATATATATATATGTAAATGTATAGTAAATCTATCCATCTTTAGTTTTCAGTGAAATAAATATTAGTTTATCGTAAACTATAGTTTAGTTTAGCGTAAAGTATAGTTTAGTTTACCGTGAACTATAGTTAAGTTTGACGTTAACTAAAGTTTAGTTTGACGTCAACTACAGTTTAGTTTAGCGTGAACTATAGTTTAGTATAACGTGAACTATAGTTTAGTTAGCGTAAACTATAGTTTAGTTTGGCGTTTACTAAAGTTTAGTTTGACGTTAACTACAGTTTAGTTTAGCGTTAACTATAGTTTTGTTTGACATTAAACAAAGTTTAGTATAGCGTGAACTATATTTTAGTAAATTTTAGTTTAGTTTATCGTGAGCTATAGTTCAGTTTAAAGTAAATTATAGTTTAGTTTACCGTGAGCTATAGTTCAGTTTAAAGTAAATTATAGTTTAGTTTACCGTGTGTTTAGTTCAGTTTAAAGTAAATTATAGTTTAGTTTATCGTGAGCCATAGTTCAGTTTAAAGTAAATTATACTTTAGCTTACCGTGAACTATAGTTAAATTTAAAGTAAATTATAGTTTAGTTTATCGTGAGTTATAGTTCTGTTTAATGTAAATTATAGTTTAGTTTATTGTGAACTATAGTTCAGTTTTAAGTAAATTATAGTTTAGTTTACCATGAACTTTAGTTCAGTTTAAAGTAAATTATACTTTAGTTTACCGTGAGCTTTAGTTCAGTTTTAAGTAAATTATAGTTTAGTTTACAATGAACTTTAGTTCAGTTTAAAGTAAATTATAGTTTAGTTTGACGTTAACTATAGTTCAGTTTAAAGTAAATTATAGTTTAGTTTCGCTTGAAATATAGTTTAGTTTAAAATAAATTATAGTTTAGTTTACCATGTGTTGTAGTTCAGTTTAAAGTAAATTTTACTTACCGTGAACTATAGTTCAGTTTAAAGTAAATTATAGTTTAGTTTCTCGTGAAATATAGTTTAGTTTAAAATAAATTATAGTTTAGTTTACGGTGTGCTATAGTTTAGTTTAGTTTACCGTGAATTATAGTTCAGTTTAAAGTAAATTATAGTTTAGTTTCGCGTGAAATATAGTTTAGTTTAAAATAAATTATAGTTTAGTTTTGCGTGAAATATAGTTTATTTTAAAATAAATTATAGTTTAGTTTACCGTGAACTACAGTTCAGTTTAAAGTAAATTATAGTTTAGTTTCGCGTGAAATATAGTTTAGTTTAAAATAAATTATAGTTTAGTTTTGCGTGAAATATAGTTTAGTTTAAAATAAATTATAGTTTAGTTTACCGTGTGCTGTAGTTCAGTTTAAAGTAAATTATACTATAGTTTACCGTGAACTATAGTTCAGTTTAAAGTAAATTATAGTTTAGTTTCTCGTGAAATATTGTTTAGTTTAAAATAAATTATAGTTTAGTTTACGGTGTGCTATAGTTCAGTTTAAAGTAAATTATAGTTTAGTTTACCGTGAGCTATAATTGAGTTTAAAATAAATTATAGTTTAGTTTACCGTGAACTATAGTTCAGTTTAAAGTAAATTATAGTTTAGTTTCGCGTGAAATATAGTTTAGTTTAAAATAAATTATAGTTTAATTTACCGTGAACTATAGTTCAGTTTAAAGTAAATTATAGTTTAGTTTACCGTGAATTATAGTTCAGTTTAAAGTAAATTATAGTTTAGTTTCGCGTGAAATATAGTTTAGTTTAAAATAAATTATAGTTTAGTTTTGCGTGAAATATAGTTTATTTTAAAATAAATTATAGTTTAGTTTACCGTGAACTATAGTTCAGTTTAAAGTAAATTATAGTTTAGTTTCGCGTGAAATATAGTTTAGTTTAAAATAAATCATAGTTTAGTTTTGCGTGAAATATAGTTTAGTTTTAAATAAATTATAGTTTAGTTTACCGTGACACAGAATATTTCCCTGAGTAAGTCAACTCTCAATTAATCTCCTGGTAGAAGAGAATTAATTTACCATGAAAAATGTCGCTAAAAATTCTGGCATCTGTTCTCCAGTCATCAGAGAACTTGAGAATATCTTGGTTAAACAAATATTTAGGTTTTCATTTATTTTCTAAACTATACAGATCCTACAACAATATATTACATGGAGAGTGGCGAAAACTAATTTTTTTGCCAAAAAGTATTTTTTATCATTTTAATTTTTGACCAATAAAAATGTTTTTGCAAGAAAAGACTACAAACATATAAATAATTAATTTATAATTTATCAGACGACTTTACAATCTAATTTTACAAATATGAGTTAAGAAACGATTATAACAAGTCCTGTCAATTCCAAAATAAGGTCTGACTTTATTGTGAGTTTAAAATAACCAGAGTTATATAAGTAAAGTTGTCTGATAACTGATCTGGTTAAGACTGTATAATCTCAAAAGGATTCAAAAATATAACTTGGGTCGTAAAATATTAGGATATTTTCAACTAACGTGTTTAAAATACGTCTTTTTTGTTTCCGGATTTTTTTTGCATATGTTTCCTTAACATATTCTTGAATTCCCGGGTTTAAAAACTCAATTCAATTGTGAAATTGAGTAATTTATCAAAGTTCTAAAATATTAAATTACTTTTAGTTCATTTAAAGTTTATCTAAAGCCCCAGGATATTCTGTGTTACTATTGAACCTACCATTGGTGATAATTTTCCTTAATATTGCAAAAGAAATAATTCAGCTACTGGAACATAGTTAAATATATTCGTCATTTTTCAAGAATTTTTCATAAATTCTTTTGGCATCTATATGTCGAGGCAAGCAAAAAGAAATGTGTAATTGTACATATAACACCTTTAGAATATCACATCTGAATATAAAGCTTAAATTTAGAGAAATTATAAATTTGTGGATTGCCATAATTTACGGATTGTCACGATTTATCGACTGTCACGATTTATGGATTGCCAACATTTATGTTTGTCACAATTTATGGACAGCCAAGACTCATGGGGTTTTCTCAATTTATAAATTGTCACAGTTTACTTTGTCTTGTCTAAATTTATGAATTTTCAAAATTTATGAATTTTCAAAATTTATGGATTTACAAAATTTATGGTTTTTTAAAATTTACGCGACTGCCATGTCTAAACGTTTATATAAAAAGTTAAAAGTAGGGGAAACAATTTACATCAGAATTTTTCATTTCTTCGTGAGACCTTTAAAAGTCTGGAGCAGGAAGACGACAATTAGACCAAAGTTTTAATTTCTTATCGTTGAATTAATATAAAACACAGTTATTGTGCAGTGCATGCATACAGACCCAGTTTACCAAATAAGTTCATTTTCAAGCTACTGTTAAAACATGTTGTTTTATGGAAACATCAAATACAGACACAACTGATTAAATGTCGTCTTCCTATTCAACAGTTTAATGGGGTCCAACTGTACAATGATTAACTATGGAACAAGTACATGACTATTGTACATCATACAATTACAACCGTATGCGCACGATGTACATACTAAGGTTAAATTCTACAGATCAGTTAGGCCTTCATGTACGCACATTTTACAATATTATTCTAACACGTGGGGTAGCAAATATTTTAGAAAGGTAAATAGGGTTATTTTGACTCGTATTCAGACTTTCTAACATATTAATTTCTTGTCTTTAATCAATAAATTATGTATTTTATCGCCTTTTGGCCAATATTTCCGACCAAGGTTTCTTGTGAAATAACCACCCGCTCTGAGAAGTTTTCGTAAAAACATTCGCGCATTTTCATCCCAATAGACGATAAAATTATGTACAGCTAATATATCTTTGAGAAAATAGATAAATAAATAGTGGGGAAGGTTGGTTTAATGATGATATTATTTTACTAAAGATCTGGAGACATATCCATCGTTAAAAAATGTTGGTATGTATGTTCCTAGAGAACGATTTTTGGACCCCCCCCCCCCTCCTATCAATTTTCTACATGGATCTTAAATGACATGAATCTTAAATGTAAGACATGTGGCCGCAGCTCTCGGCCCCCTAGCCTGTCCTAGCCGCAGCGCTCGGCCCAGAGAGTGTCTTAACTAACCTAACCCGTGGCCGCAGCGCTCGGCCCCCTAGCCCATCCTAGCCGCAGCGCTCGGCCCAGAAAGTGTCTTAACCTAACCTAACCCTAAATAACAAAAAAATAAATAATAATAAATTTGCTGAAAAATAAATGGTCATGTACAAAATTGATAGGAGGGGGGGGGCGGGGGGGGGTCCAAAAATCGTTCACTAGGACAGACCCAAAATGTTAAAAATCCTGTTTTTAGTTGAATAATTTGACAAAAAAAAGTATGAAAGTATTTTATAAACAAGTGCTTCAACTTCAGGTCTCAGTATTTCATTTTGTGCTTTCATTTGAGTTTATGCATTTAACATTTGGCACAAAAAGTTTTCTGCATTTCTTAAACATTTTAAATTTCACATTTTAATTTTGTCACCAAAAACTGGTTCTTTTGTTATAAATTATAATGATCGTCAATACTGCATTTATTTTCAAATTGACGTTTTTTAATTAAAGTTGATAAATCCTTTCCAAAAATATTTAAAGAAAAATGTGTCTTTACATGTGAGAGGGGAGGGATGGGTTGAATTCGGTAAACACTTGATATTAATCTCAGAATCTTTAGTTCTTTAATACTTCCATTTTAAAGTTCTTCGGTCTTGATGATTCCTAAATCAAAATAATCATTATTACAATTATTAATACTTTTCACTTATTTTTATTGTTCTTATTATTGATATTATTAGTATTTTTATTATTAATACTAGTATTATTATCATGATTATTATCATTATTATTATTTTTTTAATTATTATTATTATTATAATTTTTATTCTATTTGAAATGCCATGATATTTCTATGAAAAATTAAACCTGTATAATCCCTCCATCACTTTCACTGTCCGAGCTTCTATATGAGATTCTGTCCACATCATGTCTTGTCTCCTAAACAATACTTTTATACAAGAACTAGCTTAGAAACCCAGCTTTGTCTGGAAACTAAGCTTTCCTTTTAAAAGTCAGCCTACTCAACTTAGAACTTATAAACCATGCTAAGAAGATGTTCGTGCATTCTGCAAATTTGAAGCAAATCGGTCAAAGGGTTTCTTAGTTTTGATCCGACATCCAAACAAACAGAGATAACTTCTTTATTTATATTTATATTTTGGAAGATATAAAATATACATGATATTGATTAAAATAAGTATGAATTCTTTTAGTTTTTCCTTTACATGGTTCCCTCTCAAAGGAATTGAGTATTCACAACAATCTTAAAAATTTTAATCCTTTTATCTTTGCAATCCAATGTCGGAGACCTTTGATATTTCAAACTGTGAATTCTGTTAGATCAAATAATCTAGGTTTGAAACATCAATGCTTTGCACCATCATATGTATATGAAAGAAATTCATAACAGTTTCTAACTCTAATTATAATTTCAGGCTCAAAGAAAAGAGTTGGAGAAAAGGAAAAATCAACAAATGGAATCAGGATTATTTAACCAAAACTTTTTGAATTATTAGTAAGGTGAAATAAAGTTTATCAGATATCTGGGATTAAGGGAGAATCTTTGAGATATTTAACAAGGGGTTTAAGTCTTTCAACAGTGAAATAAAGTAGGATTATCCAGGAGATTTTAGTCTGAGACAGTAGTATTATTATTTTCTTAGTTGCGTGGCGCTTTCATTTAATTCCATCTAATAAAAGTTTATGGCGAGCATTCTAGTGGAATTCAGAAGACATTGAGAAGATATAATCACATTATTAGGAAAAAGGTTACTTTTTTTTTGGTACATTTTTGAGAAGAAAGTACAGCTGGTACACATATTGCATAGATATAGGGATTATACAAACGAATACTTATAATATCTATTATTTACCTCGAAACCGTCCATCATAGGTCTGGTTGATGCATTAGTATCAACTCTATGGAATGCCCCTGGACTATATTTAGATCCTGAGTTTCCTCTGCACCCCTGGATCCACCAGATTATCACTCCGCCGGCAATCGGAATTAGAGACGCTACGGCTAGGATGGCAGCTATAACTAAAGCCCAGGGCGGATACTCCTTCTCTTCATTCATCGCCTTAATTTATAGATATTACAGTGGGACTCATAAAACTGTGGAAAAGAAAGACGACATTTTTGTTATTTTATGCATAATTGAAATTGTGAAATGGGTTACTTAGCTATAAAATGTGATAATTCAAGTCTAAATGTCGTCTTCCTATATCACATTGTATGGGTCCCGTTGTATAATTAAAAAATCAAAAACAATACCATTTATGGTTCATTTTGTGCCAATGAAATTATTGGTGGCAAATTGGTTCAGACGTTTTGACATTTAATCGAAAAAAAGACAATTACATGTATAGATTGATTGACTTAAAGAATTTCAATTTAAAGCTCCGAAAAAACCCTTTGGACAGAGGTATTCAGGAATTTTAGATATTCCATTTAAATATCAGTGTAATTAAATTCACTATTCTATTTTTTAATAGTTTTCCAATTTAAAGGGAATGTAAAGGAAAAATGAAAGTGGGTATAGGATGAAACCTGAGAATCTCAGGCGTTGAATGATACACATAAGACTTCTATCCGATGTTCCTTTCTCAAGAAATTGATATAAAATTTATACGAAAATTCATATATAAGCAATTTTGTATAAAAGTTGTAGTATTAAACAGATCATATTCAACAAATACGAAACCAATCTGAAAAACGACGATATCCCGCAGAAGCCTGAGAGTGAGAATCTCAGGTTTTCTCCTATTATAATTTTGAAATTTGGATTTTGCATTTTGAATAGATATAATCGATAATATCATTACATTTAATCCGTATAGTCCGTATTACGTCACAATAACTTCAGCCAATGACAGTGCAGCATCGTTGTCACGTGGTACAGACGGAAAACACGTGACCAGTATACTGCACTGCCATTGGCTGAAGTACTGGTGACGTAATACGTTCTAAATGGATTAAATGTAATAATATTATTAATTATATCTATTCAAAATGCAAAATAAAAATTAAATAATTATAACAGGAGCAAACCTGAGATTCTTAGGTTTCATTCTATACCCCCTTTCATTTTTCCTTTACAGTCCCTTTAAGAAAGGATTTCAATTACATCTCTAGTATTTTTTTTATTATATACTGCATTCTTTATTAAATAAATCCCTAATAAGCGTGAAAAAGTAAGACTGATTAGTGGTAAAATAAGACAGAATTGGGGGGAAAAACAAACGTTAGAGGTCAGTAAACTCTACTACACGCTTGACTTAACTGTAAAAAGAAGATTTGAGAATTTTAAGAAATCTGAGATATGCATCAAAATTAAGTCTTTTAAACACACATTTGTTCGATTGAAGTTTTCCAGAAGGCAAATTTATGTAAGCAACAAATTATGTAAGAAAAATCCAAATCTTGAAAGTTAATTTCTAAAAATTGAACATTTTTATCTAATCAGGCGATTTAACAACTTATAATAAAGTCAGATAAAGGTATCTTGAACAGGGGCGGACACAGGGGGGTGGCGGGGGGACATTCACCACCCCCTGACAGATTCAGGGAGGGGCGTAGCCCCCCCCTGAGATTTCGAGGCAAAAAATGTTCCCAATTTGATAAATCGTATGTGTTTTTTGTCCGCCCCTGAATTCTTGAAATATATAAAATTATATCTTATTCAACAAATGTTTAAATTTAACTACTTACTTTAAAAAAAAGACTGTGTTATTTTTATAGTGAGATTCCTATAACTGTGAAATAGGAAGAAGGCATTTAAGCAATCTTATGTTTATTCGATATTGTTATAAAACAATATTTAAAACGGTAGCTTGAGAACCCATTTACTAAAGGAAAATGGGTCTCTGTGTACATTGCACAGTTTCATGTTCCTTGAATTACTTAAGGGCCCCACTGTACAGGAAAAGAAAAAAAGAACTGAATTGCCAACCTTCTCCTTGTTCCAGGCGGTGTATGTTGGATGCTTGGTGAACATGCTGTAGGCCGAGGAGAGGATGATGGAGAGCATGAGCAGGGGAGATATCAACCTCCAGAGTACCTGCCAGAATATTCCAGGACGATATCCTACAACACAAAGGAACTGATTTACTAGTTTCCATCTTTTATTTTCTATTAACCTTCTTGCACGGAAAACTTAACTTTAACGGTCCTGGTTAAAGTTTACGGAGTCTTAACTGCAGAACCCATTTTAACCCATTTAATATTGAATATTCGGTTTTTTTTACTTTTTGCTGGGCTATGTATTGTGTAAACATATTTAAGTTTATAAGGTCTATACCACCATTTTTGACAGATTTTGAATCAAAATATGACTGAAAATATTCTGATACGGACAGCACACGTAAAACCATAGATTAATTAACAATATCAGATAGGACCCTAGATGTCGTCTTTTCAAGATTTAGGGGTTTTATGTTCACAATAACCCTGAGGCGCATGCTCTCTCAGTCTCTCTTTCTTGGCAATCAACGCAGCATGTGCGTAACTCCTTTAGACTTCTGGCTCAGGGTTATTGTGAACGAAAAACCTCTAAATCTTGAAAAGACGACATATAATGTACTATCTGTTATTGTTAATTAATCTATGGTTTTACGTGTGCTGATGATGAACATTTTTGAAATTTAAAAGTTTTGATTTTTGATACAGCAGAATTCTTAGTTTGAAATATCAAAGGTCTACGATATCAGGTTGCAACGATAGAAGGATTAGGAAGGATTAGGAAATGAGACGATTAACAAGTAATTATTTGTTATCAGGATTAAAAATTCGTATTTTGTTTCGATACAAGACAGCTGGTTCATAAAATGTCCTAGTGCCGTTAAAACTTTCTACCATCATCACACCTCCAGTTTAATTGAAAAATTTATATAAGAGTTTGTTTATACCCCCCAAAAAAGTGGTTTAATCCAAATAAATCAAGTACAATAGGTGGCAACAGAGAAATGGACCAATTATACACGACGTCACAAGTGTCAAATATAAAAAGGGAAACGAACTTTTCTCCCATTAGTTGACATGTTTTCCAAAATTAAATAAAAAGTGTAAAAACAGAAAATAAAGAACACATAAAATTGCACTTATTTTACTGTAAAATAAGCTTTTTATTTTAAAACTATCACTATCATTAATAATGTTGTCGGACACAAAAACTGAATTGACACTTGTGACGTCAGAATACAGCTGTACTGAGAGTGTACAAATTCTACGTTGCCATCAATTGTACTAGAATCTATTTGGTTTAACCAACATGAAACAGTTTCCTAAGAAAAAGAATTATATATTCAGACTAATCTCCAAAATAATGAATAAAAAGTAAAACTTTATCCTCTTACCAGTCATATCTTCAATGTCATCCGTGAACCTCCTGTGTCCGTACACATACATCACGCAGATGATCTCGATAAAGGCGATGAGCGTGAGCCCCGTAGCTCCGAACTCATCGAAAAGAGTTAACCAGTATTCTCCTGCTCCTGTCGTAAACACGGTTCCGATACAGAAACTAGAACAAAGTTCAATGTAAATTCTGAAAGTACAGGGTTGCCCACAACGAATGAGACTGACCGGAAAATAAAACGATCCCAAGGTTATATTTATATAGTAATCTAATGGCTTATATAAAGATTTAACAAACAAACAAACAAGTTTCAAGTTGCATGAATCACAAATAAAAGGAAACAGACCGTAAAAAATCCGCACAGTCGTCTCTGAAGTCTCATCCTTTAAGGGTAACTCTGTATATCAAATGAAAAGGGAATAGAGTAAAATGATAATAATAATCGAATAATGTTCAATGTACTAAAAATTATTTAGGTTTATTTGCTGTGTAAATTGTAACCCTGAAAATAAAATTATATATTTGTCTAAACTGAGTACGTTTCTTCTAAACACTACAATGGTCGACCAGTTGACGTCTCCGACTGTGTGCGTTCTAATTATAACTATATATCAGATAAGTATGAGACATATATCGGCCAAACTATCGTCCCACAAAGTACTCTGCAAGAAAGCTGGTTCGAATACCTTTTTTTGTATGTATACCTGAAGAGTGCCACTGCTCCAACAAGAATAGGTTTCTTGACAAATTTAAGCCGAGGATGATCAAACAGAGTAGATGTTACTCCTTCAAGAATACCTTAAAACAAATAAATGTCGTATTTAATTATCATTATAATATTCCTGATTTGTTTCTAACAGTTTTTTGTAATTATCAAGGTCGTCTTAATGTCAGAATTTGAATTGCAATATATTAGCATATTTACAGACAAACGAAAAGACAGATTTAAAATCTTCATTAGGTTCAATTATTCCTTTAATTTGGATGGATTAATTTTTGAATTCTGTCAAACCATTTATAAATCTAAATAAATAAGATAAAATTTTAAAAACAGATTCGATTGTCTTGTGTATTCAAAATGGATGATTTAAATCTAGAACTCCGATACTTTTTCATTAAAAAGAATAATTTCACATATTTTAAAGCTCGTATACACCACAGATGTTTTCACCAAAACTTTAGTTTCAGCAGACTTTGAATGGAAAGACGACCTTGCTAAAGTCCAAGTTGATTGATTGATTGAATACCTATCTGAGAACCAACTCCTAAACTCAGCAGCATCAAAAAGAAGAGAATCGACCATAGCGGCGGCAACGGAATCTAGATGTTTTTTAATCATATATTGATTTCGTAAACAAATGTTAAATGCTTTATTTTAGGATTTTTATTTAAAAACTCAATTTCTTTCCCATCTTGTCAAAACTTGGAATTTCATTTCAATTTTAGAGGGAGTAGGCCCCCATAGCAAGAATTGATGAAGAGGGGGGGGGGGGTAATATCTCCTTGTTTACCTGAGTAAAAACCTCCGCCATTACAATAAACGCCAATCCGGTTCCGCCAGCAGCCGAGTCCAATTCCTTCTTCAGTGAGCAGTGGCGGAGCAAGCTGAACCTGGGATCAACAGAGTTGTTGAGGTACAAGGAGGTGCTCAGGGTGCTGTTCAAGACCAGGCTGGAGTTGTGCGAGGGGTTTAATGAAGAATGCATAATTAGTATAGCGGCGTCATATTCCTCCTAAAAAAAACAAAATGGCGGGTTTAAATTCAAAATGTCGCTTAATTTCCCCGAAAATGTTGGCTGAGGATTGAGGATGCAAGGAAATGTGTTTCTAATTTGTTGATGCGCTGGGCCATAAAAAATAGAATAAAAATAAGATTAAATACGTAAAGGAACTCCTTGCTACTGTTTTAAATTTAAAAGTCAACCTTTTTGTTTTCTTAAAAACTACCTCTGTCATATTTTTTTAAATACCTCACGTGTATTATGTAATACTAGTGTCATCTAAGTTTTTATTATAATTGTATCCTCTCTGTAATACTTTGTCCTCTGTATTATTAGTTGCGTCCTGTGTGCTCTACTACATATGTCCTCTACTACCAATGTCTCCTCTACTACCTGTGTGACATATACTACATATGTCCTCTTCTATAACCTGGTGGCATCTACTACATATTTCCTCTACTACCTATGTTCTCTACTACCTGTGTCCTCTATGTCCTTTGTTACATATGTCCTCTTCTACCTGTGTTTTCTAGTAACTTTGTCCTCTTATGCATGTGTCCTACACTACATATGTTCTCTGCTACCTATTTCCTCTACTATCTATTTTCTCCATGTTTTTTCTACTACCCCTGTCCTCTTTATACCTGTGTCCACTACTACCTTTGTCCTCTGTATACCTGTGTCCACTACAACCTTTGTCCTCTGTATACCTGTGGTATGTCCTCTATATTTCTGCCGATGAATTCCGGAAATGTAGATGAAAGAATGCTGATGTCACTGAAATATAATATTCTGGATTATTTATATTTTCCTCATGTTTCAGTTAATCTGCTGTTCTTTTGATTGTTTTTGTGTTGCAATAATATATTTAATAGATAAATGAAATAAAAACATCTTTTTATTTTTACGACCTTCTTTATAATCTTTATTCTAGATACATGGGAGACCCAAATATTTTGTATTTATTCGCAGCATGCTCATCGTTGAATTTTTCAATTAAAAAGACTAGAGACGTAAATTTAGATGATGCTTTATTTCTAAAAAAGAATTGCATGTCTGATTCACATTGATACCTTTAAAATCCATGTTTTTCGATCTAAAAATTGATTATTTTTACTTGCACTTTTCTGTAAAAGTGACTAAAGGATTTTTGCAGCAGAGAACAGAAAGGGGAAATTATGAGAAATTAAGTGCTAAAGAGTACCGTTGGCGTTGTGATTTGTAAATCTGGCGTGAAGTGCTTAGAATTGAGGGTCACTTGAAATTACGTTGACAGTCCCTTAAAATGTTTATCAAACACAAATTACACATTTAGGACAATAATAATGGTTGCTGCTTTACGACAAGGAATATAAATAAAACTACCATAGCATAATGCTGGCACTGGGTCTGTTTACATTCCTACCAAAAACTGCAGTACGCAAATTATTTTTATGTTAGTTCCTTCGTTCCTGTTATATTCCTTGCTTTACGGGATAAAAAATAACTGATCTTTAATACAGATATCTGTGCCTAACTTATAGTACAAATTCAAGATTTTTGATGATTTTTAATCGCATTTTTTTCGGGCATTGCATGGTTTAAGAACTTACTGTTCCATGCAGTGATGAAGCATGGTGACTGCCTTGAACCCCAGGATGGAGAATATAACTGCGCATGCGTAGATTGCAGTACAGATGTTTGTCAAGGAGATCATTAGCACATCACGAACACAGTTCTTCTTAGGATTGTTGTACGATCCAAAGCTAAATATGGAGAAAACTTTTTTAAAAATCAAAAATAATTGGTGATTTTTTTCAATTTATGATTTTATTACTGCAGCATTAAGGGTATTTGACCTTCTAAACATCCAAATTCCACACCAAATGGAAATACTTTGTCCAAAAAGAATAAATTCCCTTCAATTGCAGTCAATGAAAGAAAAAATGTGTGGTTACACAATAAAACAACGAAAATTCAACCAATTTAGAAGGAAACTTAAAATCTATCACAAGGACAGCCATTAAAAAATACGAATACCTAATAATGGAGCCAAAAATAAACAAATTAAAACATGATAAAAGATATCTAATAATGGATCCAAAAGCTAATGCAAATAAATCAAATGAATAAAAATACCTTACAAAAGTAAACCATAATAAAGAAAGTGAACAAATAAATAAAATGAAAAGTAATGCCTAATAGTGGATCTGAAAGTAAACCAAATGAAAGATTTTTTAAAATACATAGTAAAGGATCCGAAAGTAAACAATAGAATAAACGAATGAAAATACCTAATAATGAATCCGAAAGCTAACCCAAATGAAAGAAAATACCTAATAATGGATCAAAAAGCTAACCTTAAATGAATGAAAATACCTAAAAATGGATCCGAAAGCTAACCCAAATGAAAGAAAATACCTAATAATGGATCCGAAAGCTAATCCAAATGAATGAAAATACCTAATAATGGATCCGAAAGCTAATCCAAATGAATGAAAATACCTAATAATGGATCCGTAAGCTAAACCAAATGAATGAAAAGACCTAAAAATGGATCCGAAAGCTAACCCAAATGAAAGAAAATACCTAAAAATGGATCCTAAAGCTAACCCAAATGAAAGAAAATACCTAATAATGGATCTGAAAGCTTACCCAAATGAAAGAAAATACCTAAAAATGGATCCGAAAGCTAACCCAAATGAAAGAAAATACCTAAAAATGGATCCGAAAGCTAACCCAAATGAAAGAAAATACCTAATAATGGATACGATAGCTAAACCAAATGAATGAAAATACCTAATAATGGATCTGAAATCTAACCTAAATGAATGAAAATACCTAAAAATGGATCCGAAAGCTAAACCGAATGAATGAAAATACCTAATAATGGATCCGAAAGCTAACCCAAATGAATGAAAATACCTAAAAATGGATTCGAAAGCTAACCCAAATGAATAAAAATACCTAAAAATGGATCCGAAAGCTTACCCAAATGAATGAAAATACCTAATAATGGATCCGAAAGCTAACCCAAATGAATGAAAATACCTAACAATGGATCCGAAAGCTAACCCAAATGAATGAAAATACCTAATAATGGATCTAAAAGCTAACCTAAATGAAAGAAAATACCTAAAAATGGATCCGAAAGCTAAGACAAAAGAATGAAAATACCTAATAATGGATCCAAAAGCTAAAACAAAAGAATGAAAATACCTAATAATGGATCCAAAAGCTAAAACAAAAGAATGAAAATACCTAATAATGGATCAGCCAAAAGCTAAAACAAAAGAATGAAAATACCTAATAATGGATCAGAAAGCTAAAACAAAAGAATGAAAATACCTAATAATGGATCCAAAAGCTAACCCAAAAGAATGAAAATACCTAATAATGGATCCGAAAGCTAAAACAGAAGAAGTAAAATACCTAATAATGGATCCAAAAGCTAAACCAAATGAATAAAAAACTTGATTAGCTGCATCCAACCAAACAGTAGGTTCTAGCAACTTTTCCAGCTGAAACAAAAATGAAACGATTATCAAGAGGGACAAAAATCGTAAAATTCGCAGATATTTGCTAACATAAGAACTTACTTGAATTTATTGTATGAAAAACAATATTAAAAGGCCACGCCCACAGGGTGTGATAAAAAAGGGTGAATATCAATATCTTGCATAAAATAAATCATTATATTTTGGTAATCTCGTTTTTGACAAATTTGTAAGAAATTTTTGATTTTTTTTTTGATAGGCCATCCGCGAAACTATTTTTTTACTCAAAATTAGATTAAGTAGAAAAAACAAAAGTGCGGGAATATATTATTTCTATCACACCTTAAAATCTTGAACAGATGAGATGAATAGTTTCGGAGAAAATGCGCGAAATTAAATTAAGAACATCCGCAATTTTAGTTTGAAATAATAATTAAAAGTAAAGTTCTGCCTGCAATGGCTCCTCAATTTTCAACAGAACAGAGAATATTTATAACTTTGGAATACAACAAGAAAATGGGGACGAGAGGACTTTTTCAAAAATAAAATTGTGGATTTTCTAAATTTAATTTAGCACATTTTCTCCGAAACCACTCATCTGATCTGTTCAAGATTTTAAGGTGTGATAGAAATAATATATTCCAGCACTTTTGTTTTTTTATTCATCTTATTTTGAGCAAAAAATACTTTTGCGGGGTTTTTGTAAAAAGGTCTAAAATTTTATACATTTAGTCAAAAAAAGATGATTTATTTTATGCAAGATCTTGCTATTCCCCCATTTTTTGACTCACCCTGTATAAACTTAAATAATTTTTAAGAAAATAATTGTTTAGAAAAATATTTTTGTCTGTCTGGTTTGTTGGAACGGGTGAAAATGGGTTCCAAAGTTGAGAATTTTTGACATTTAACCTGGACATTTACTGTAGACCTATGTACCTTAGGAGTAAGCATATGTTGAAGACCAATCAGAGCTCCTTGAAGGGTTAGTCCACGGAAGAAGAATATTGTTAGAACTACATAGGGAAACATGGCAGTGAAGTATACAACCTTACCAGAGGATGCAATTCCCTGAAATAAAATAGAATTTTTACAAATTATTTCAAAACCCGAGTTTTTCAACATTTTTAAAAATATTTTATCTCTGTGAAAATCCCTCCAAGGTTGTTATCTTTTTTAGAAACGTTTATACGAATTATGTAATTTATTACGATTATTTCTGATCTTGTTTTCACTAATTAGTAACTGTTATTTCTAATCTTGTTTTCACTAATTAGTAACTGTTATTTCTGATCTTTTTTTCACTAATTAGTATTTGTTATTTCTGATCTTGTTTTCACTAATTAGTAACTGTTATTTCTGATCTTGTTTTCACTAATTAGTATCTGTTATTTCTGATCTTGTTTTCACTAATTAGTATCTTTTATTTCTGATCTTGTTTTCACTAATTAGTATCTGTTATTTCTGATCTTGTTTTCACTAATTTGTAACTGCTATTTCTGATCATGTTTTCACTAATTTGTAACTGTTATTACTGATCTTGTTTTCACTAATTTGTAACTGTTATTTCTGATGTTGTTTTCACTAATTTGTAACTGTTATTTCTTCTCTGTTCTGTAATTTGTAATATTTATTTCTGGTCTGTTTCTGTAATTTGTATCTGTTATTTCTGATCTAAACTGTTATTTCTGATCTGTTCTGTAATTTGCATCTGTTATTTCTGATCTGTTTCTGTGATGTGTAACTGTTATGTTTGATCTTTTTCTGTAATTTGTAACTGTTCTCTCTGATCTTTTTCTGTAATTTGTAACTGTTCTCTCTGATCTTTTTCTGTAATTTGTAACTGTTATCTCTGATCTGTTACATATAAATTTTTACTACAGAATCCAAGCGACATCTCTAATTTTAAGAAAGATCAAAAATAATAATTATTCCACTATATTTATTGGTTACTACTATAGCCTTTATTTACCTTCATTAGGATGAGATAGACCATAATCCAGGATAGAGTTAAATACATCAAGATCTTCCAGTTTATTCCGTCAAAATTCTCTAAACATTTTCATGTTTGACAGTTCTTTATATCTTTACATATAAAGTTGTAATCTCTGTGTCTGTCTGTCTGTTTTTTGTCCAATCATAACTCGGGAACCCCTTGACCGATTTGTCTGAAATTTTGATTGGGGAACTTGGGAGACCCACGGTAATGTTCTTAGCTTGGTTTTTAGATTCTAACTAGCAAAAATTTAGTTTCGCGGTAAAATCGTTCAAGGGCGTGTAAACGGTGGGAGTAACTTTTAGTAACCTTGGCAGCGCTGGGTTCTCAAGCTAGTAAATATATAAAGTTGTAATCTTTGTTTGTCTGTTTTTATGTCCGATCATAACTCAGAAACTCTTTGACTGATTCGCCTCAAATTTTGGTTGGGGAACTCGGGAGAACCTCGGGAATGTTCTTAGCTTGGTTTTTTTTGGATTGGATTGACTTTTATATTAAAATATTTAGGCCAAGCTGGGTTCCCTACCTAATCTATATATAAATTTAGCTTGTCTTTTTGTTTGTTTGTATCCAATAAACGTCAAAACGGCTGAACCGATCAGGCCCAAATTTTGTGTGGAACTCACGTGGCCCCAGGGAAGGTTTATGAATGATCAAAATTTCAAATATTTGTCTCCATCAAAACTCAATTTTCATTAAATTTTCAAAATTTTGAAAATCCACGAAATTTTATGTTTAAATCCGCGAACTTTTTTTGTTTTGCTTTACGATGTACACAAAGAGAACATGTTCACAATTAAAATTTAAGATGGGCGCCAAGCGCCCTAAAAGGCTAGTTTTAGATAAAATACACAACATCAATTGACTTCCATGTATGTTGGGTTTATCATGGGGTTATTTTAGATTTTATCTTAAGCTTTTTTGGGTTTATATATTCTGTATTATATGAATTTTAACTTCTCTAAACTTATAATTTGTTTGAGTAATCTAGCATAATATTAAATTATTGGTATCAAATATCCTAACAAAAACTTGCTCCGTTGCAAAATCTTTAAATTTTTGAAACGTAATCAATATTCTGAGTCGTGATCTTTTTATTTCAAAAATATTCTTGATTTTTTTAATTGGGAGAAACTAAAAAGTGTAATAAACCAAGATTGCTAGATTAGAACCAGAGTGTAGATATGCGATGTTTTCTAAAACGAGTTCTATATATAGTACACAACTGAACACTTTCTTTGGATACAAAATACAAACCCTTCAAAAATAAACTAAATACATAAATTTTATGTGTCATGTTAAAAGTTAGAATATTTCTTTAAAAATTGCAAAACTTAACTCCCATGAATGGGTACTATATGTAACAAGTGGATGTTAGATGGCAGTCAAAAACTTTTTGTAAGAGTATAGCATATCGTGCCGGTACTACTATAAGCCTACTTAGTCCAGCGCGTGAAAGCTGATTTTTGAACTCAGATACGGGTTTTATCCTACATGTTGAAACTAATCTACAAGAAACACTATAAGTTTGAACATACCTATTGAATCTGAGGAGGCTAGGGTTGTCCGAAACCAGAAATATTGAGTTTCACTTGATTCCATACATTCAGTTATATTCTTTCCTGTTAATTTGTTCAATCTATTTAAACTTATTATATATAGTAATTTAAATAAAAAAACTGAACACAACATTTTCTAATCTTTTAACTCTGTTTATCTTTGATATTTCAAGACCTTTGACGTTTAAAACTATGAATTCTGTTAGAGATTAAATATGTAGTCTAAGCTAAAAAATATAAAAGGTTACACTATCGGGTTGTTTTAAAGCATAACTCCTATATTATTGAAAACTATTGAGAAGAGTAAATCTGTGACCAAATAAATAAGGTGAGTTCTGGTAAATTTCTCAGATCCCTATCTGATGTCGTAGACATTTGATATTTCTAACTAAGTATTCTGTTTGATTACGTAGTCTGAGTTTTAAATATTAAAGGTTTACACTACCACGTTGCAAAGATATAGGGATTAAAAGATTTTGAGTTTATGAAAAAAAAACAAAGCATTTCTCATACGTGTGCACGTGTGTATATAATTAAAACTAGAGGAGCTACAAGGTAAAAAAGCTTTTCTCATACTTGTGCACGTATATAATCAAAACTAAAGGAGCTACAAGGTAACAAAGCTTTTCTCATACTTGTGCACGTGCGTATATATCAAAACTAGAGGAGCTACAAGGTAACAAAGCTTTTCTCATACTTGTGCACGTGCGTATATAATCAAAACTAGAGGAGCTACAAGGTAACAAAGCTTTTCTCATACTTGTGCACGTGCGTATATAATCAAAACTAGAGGAGCTACAAGGTAACAAAGCTTNTTCTCATACTTGTGCACGTATATAATCAAAACTAGAGGAGCTACAAGGTAACAAAGATGTTCCAGTAATGTTCCATAAATTTAACCCTCGATCCGTAATTTTTGTTTTTCATGGTTTCTCAACACATTCTTCCGTCACAACATCTATCCCATTCTCGCAGATTTCAAAATATGAAAAAATTCTAAGACATTTGATAAAAAGATTGAATATTTTCCTGTAATATAATCTTGAGGGCATTTAGTCCAGGGCAATTCACTCTGAAAAAGAAGTTATTAAAGTTAGATAAAAAATAAGAATAAAATATAAATAATAAATCTAATTTTCATTAATTGTATAAATAGTATTAATGTGTATGTACAAAGCAAAATGAAGTCCTAAAAAAATACAACGTGAATCCCTTTTCTTACTTTTTTCATTGATTCCATATAAGGAAATAACCAACCATAATAACATGGATGAAAAGAAAATTTTTTTCTTTATTGAATTATTCGTGACTCCCCCCCGCTAAACAAATTTAAGGAACTGACCGTAAAGGAAGAGAAGAGGTAGTTAAGACACCAGGCAATGATGACATTATAATAGCATCCAACTATAACAGCCACTACACTGGATCCATATCCAACCCCTGACAGTGCTGGATGAATCTAAATTAAGGAAAAATACACTTTAGGAATTTTCCATTTGTGCTTCAGTGTACTGAGTATGTCCCATGTACTAAATATGTCCTGTGTATTGAGAATGTCTGATGTACTGAGTATGTCTGATGTACTGAGAGTGTCTCATGTACTGAGTATGTCTCATGTACTGTATGTCTCATGTACTGAGTATAACCCATGTACTGATTATGTTTTATGCACTAATTATGTCCCATGTACTGATTATGTCCCATATACTAATTATGTCCCATGTACTGATTATGTCCCATGGACTTACTATGTACCATGTACTTATTTGTACTTATTATGTACAATGTGCTTTTTATGTCCCACGAACTGATTATGTCTCATGTACTTATTACGTACCATGTACTTATTATGTCCCATGTACTGATCATGTCCCATGTTCTAATTATGTCCCATGTACTAATTATGTACCATATACTTATTATGTACCATGTACTTATTATGTGACATGCACTGATTATGTACCATGTACTGATTATGTAGCATGTACTGATTATATAACATGTACTGATTATGTACCATGTACTAGATATTTGAAGATTATAGTCCAAACAAATGCACATCTGTTGAGTTTGACTTAACTTTTCACATTCCATCGCCTTGAGGTAATAAGCAAGTGAAAGGAGGAAAATAATGTATTGAATCCTCACAAATCAAAATTCCAAAAAAAAGTTGGTAACTAAAAAACAATTTGAAATGACTTTGAGAATTCTTAAATAATACTTCGAACATTAAATTTAATCTTTAAGTTGAATTACACAGGTTTAATCAAGGTAATAATGCAAGGAAAGTTATTTCATAGGCGTGCGCATCTTGTGAACTGTCTCTGGGCGGTAATGTAAACACAAGACGGATGTCGAAGCCTGACACGGGATCCGTCTTTTACATGAAAAATCAAAGACATATTCTAGTCATAGGAAACTATTATGTGAATTATCAAAATTATCAAAATTTAATGCCTTTAACGTCCTCGGATACTAAACAAACACTGTTGCATCTCTTCTTGTTTACAAATTCCGCCCAGAGAGAACTGGTTTCAATATGTACGCAGAGTATACGCAACTGCAATTAACTTTCCTTGCATTATAACCTTGTGTTTAGCATAATGTTGTGTTGTATAATTTTTAAACATCATTCTGTTATTTTACCTTACGATGCAGATTTTTTTTGAAAGAAAATTTTTGAAAATGGACAAAATAAATTTCCCACTAAAAACTAGATTTCCAGCATACGGTTTTAATCTACAACTTCAAATTACGACATTTCAAATTAGTCATGGCAAGTAAACAGATAACTACAACTTTTAAATCAAATTAAAAAAGATTTAAAAATACGTAAATAGAAAATTAGAATTGAAAACTTTCGTTTCAATTTTTATTTATTTTGAATTTAACTTCCCAGTGTATTTCTTTAAGTTCATTAAGATTTGGCTTGAAACCAAGATTGTTCTCAGGCATTGCTCTGATTCTGAATCTTATGCACATGAATAAATAGATAGAATGTATAATGTATAATTTGAAATATTATTTGTAAATTTTAGATTAGAAATTCACTTGAAGGCGTTTTATAACACAAAATCACACAGGGTAATATTAATTTAGTTTTGATTTGGTTTCCTATCTTTCTTTTTAGATCATACCCTTAGGTTAATAATTTTCAGCGAAAAAAATATAAAGTGTTCTTGTGTTTTGTGATTTTGATTCGCTGTCGTTACTCTTTGAAAAGAAATCCCCATGAATTATGCTCGAATACACGAAATTTACCATACACAACTATAACTAAAAGTTTATAATGTTTGTTTTTAAATAAATAAATTCCTATAAAATGTTAAAAAAACATAATTTGCAATCCTGTCATATTCCCGTCAGAGACTTTTACGGAATTAAGTTCATTAGTCTTTCTCCAGTGTTAACATATTTTATATTTTTTTGATAGATAAATTATTTAAAATCGGATTCCTGACTGAATAATATCATATGATTTACATGGAAAATCCCCAAATCTTTGGAGGGATATTTTTTTCTCGTTTAAACTAAAACGTTCTTTTACCAACATTATTTAAAATTCCTTCAGTAGTTTTCCTTGTATAGAGTTTTTTTTTTAACCCAATCAGTAAATACCGGAAAAAGCAAATAGATTATCAAGGACAACAGAGAAATGGACCAATTATACATGACGTCAAAAGTGTCAAATATAACAAGGAAAATGAAATTTTTCACATTAGTTGACATGCTATCCAAGATTAATTAAAAAAGGTGTAAAAACAGAAAATAAAGAACACATAAAACTGCACTTATTTTACTATAAGGTAAGCACTTTATTCTAAAATTGTCACTATCATTAATACTTTTGTCGGACACAAAAACTGAATTGAAACTTGTGACGTCAGAATACAGCTGTACTCAGAGTGTACAAATTCTGCGTTGCCATGTATTGTACTAGAATCTATTTGTTTAAAAGTATCTCCTGACCCTATAGTCAGGCTCCAATTTAAAATATTTTCCAGATCTCATGAAATTAAACTAATCATAGTTCAGCTCATGAAATGTTTAAAAGCTTCTTAGTTTTAGAGTAATAGCTGCTTTTTTACTGCAAAATATACTCTGTTCACATACATACTACATGATAACATTTTTATCCGCTGTACTTTTCTGTATAACCTACTCTCTGATCATGTAATAGCTGCTTTTTTACTGCAAAATATACTCTGTTCACATACATACTACTTGATAACATTTTTATCCGCTGTACTTTTCTGTATAACCTACTCTCTGATCATGTAATAGCTGCTTTTTTACTGCAAAATATACTCTGTTCACATACATACTACTTAATAACATTCTTATCCGCTGTACTTTTCTGTATAACCTACTCTGTGATCATGTAAAAGTTCATGAGATACTTTTACACTTTAAAGCTGTTCCTGCACTTCATAAGCAACTCCTATACTTTAAAAGATGCTGCTACACTTCACTGCACTTAATAAGCTGTTCCTACACTTCATAAGTACCTTTTTTTCTTCCACTAAAAAAGCTATTTATCTACTTAAGCTGTTTCTAAACTTTTAAAAAGCCGCTTATTTGCTGTCTACGGTGTTTACCTTAGGCCAAGCAGCTGCTGATCCAACCCTGAGCTTCTGTCCTAGTCCTAGCTCTAGAAGGAGTAAAGGCATCCCTACCAGTACTATCATTATCATGAATGGAATCACAAAGGCTCCTGAAAAATTTAAAAATTAAAGTTTTAGAAAAGCTAAGAACTCTAGGCATAAAGGCTAGAAATATTATGGGTCTGCAGTAGGCACTGAGGCAGTGTACGCTAAATTAAATGTAAACTTTACATATCTCTACTCTACAGACAAATATCTCTCTCTTACTCTAAAGTTTACAATATTGTTATATAAGTAGAACATGCATCTTTGTTCTATTTAGTGTAGACATATATTTACAAGAATCCAATAACAAACATTTTTCTAATTCTGGATTCTTCTAGAATTCCAATAACCTGCCCTGGTAAAAAAAGACCGGTTCGCATTGATTGGCAGATTTTCTATAGTTTGTCAATTTTCTTGACCGAGCAAATAAATGATTTTGCGAAATTGAAAAAAATGTTAAAGCCTTTTAAAAATATGTACTTCCAAGAGAGCTAGAAAAATGGTATTATCTCATGCACGTATTTGTAGTTGTTTATAAAAAGGTTGTTTTTCAAAGAAATGGAAAAACAAGATTAGAAGGAACATTTTTTAATCCGTCTGTTTTTGAAAAAGACGTAGAATAGAAAAGTAAATATGTTTCATTTTTAATTTCTTTGACAAAAAAAAGATATTCATAGGATTTATATAATTCAGAACAAAAATAATTTTTGTCAAAACATTCACCAATTATTTTTTACTATTATAACAACTGCAATCTTAATTTACAGGATTCAAGAATGGTTTTACAATTAAAAGGTGTATTTAAGGGGGAAAATACTAAAGCAAGTACAAAAATATACATCGCGCGGGGAGGGGGGGGGGGGGATGGCATGTTAAAACCATGGAAATAAAAATGTCTGAAATACAAATTTTAAAAAATTCAGTATTTACTGATGCCGTAATTTTTACTCACAAACATAGACTTGCAGCAACGAGCTCATCCGTAGCGCTTCCGTAACCATATATCTTCCGGCAATTTGTCTCAAAAAGAGAGAAAATCAATTTTTACCAGAAATAACACAGTTCCGCGTGCAATTTAGCATAAAATTATCTAAATCTATCTATCTATCTATCTGATTCTAGATAATTTAAAACCGAATTACACCCAAAACTGCATTACTTTTGGTGAAGATTTAATTTCTCCTTACTTTCAAAAACATTTTTAGAAAATATTGAAATCAGCATACATGTACAAAATAGTACATTTTAGGAGGAAATCGCATTAAATAACATTTTAAAAAAAACTATTGCCCAAGTGAGCGAGAACGTTTACTTATATTATCAAAAAGAATATGATTAATATGTTGTTTAGCTTACAATAGATGCCATGAATTTTTCTAAAATAACCATTCAAAAGCAAAGACGTTTTGCCGGAAAATATATGGGTGCGGCTAAGGAAGCGCTGTGGGTAAACGCGTTGCCACATACATATAGCCTCCATCCCGTAAATTACGGGATGGAGGCTATTCGGGTGCGGCCTTCCTTCCCCCCCCCTTACTGACGTCATACATAACTTTCAGTCATTGGTGTCACACTGTCTAAAATGTCTACACATTTGAAATTAGCTTTTTAAATACTGTTTTACCTTTACCTGAACTTTGCTTGGTAAACGTGTATAACGTTACACTGGGTTATCCACAAAGAATGAGACTCTAAAGATGACCCAAAACTCTTAAAATGTTGACGATTTCAAGCTTGCATTTTGGTTGCTTAACTCAATAAAACGTTTTGATGGTTTACCTAATGATTAAGCACAGAAACAAGCCAGTTTTGGCCTACAAAGAACCCTGAATGCATGGAAATGGACTAAACAAGTTCCGTACAATCGTCTCTGAAGTCTTATCCTTTGTGGGTAACCCTGTGCATTGTAACATGAATCAGGTTTATAATCTTATCGTTTTGACCGAACAACTCCTAATTTACCAACGTTATATTAGAAATTATGTAATATGAGTCTACTATGGAAAGTTCCTTCGTTTTATGTATGTGACTAATTTACTAGTTCACATTCCAGAATTCATAAGATGCACATTTTTCTTTACAGTGGCTTAATCTTGAAAATCCGCAATATTTGACGATTTATGTCTCGCGTCATTTATCGAAAAAATCTGAATGACTATAAATGCTGAATTTTCGTAGATAATGTTTGCAAATTATGAAGAAAATTTTTTTAGTCTTAACTTTTAATTTCTATAAAAATGAATCTAAAGCCCTGTTTTGAAGGTTTGGCAAATCCCCCAAATCTTACAGTAGTACAAATATCGCTTGCGTGTTTCCTACGTCATTCAAGAAAAATGTCATGTGACAAACAAATATGTATCTTTCGAATAGTAAATCTAACATTCATTTTTAATTATCTTCAAAGTAGAAATTTAATATACAGACGGAACCAAACCTTGACTCAGACTCGAGATTAATCTCCTGAAAATGGCAAAAAAAAATATTGTTTTGAATACGTAAAATATTTACTTTTTTTACTTCTATATCATATGTATCTAAAAATTCTTTTGTATCAGAGATGTTAGATCTTTAAAAGGGACTGTTAATGTAATTTAAAGTGAAACTCCATTTTCTGATTCACAACGGTACCCTTAAAAGCTTTGTCAATTATGAATGATAGATCCATATTTTTGTTTCTGAAAATTGATTATTTTCATCTGTGGTTTTTCTACAAGAATCTCTTACATATGAAACAATGAAGAAATCAACAGAATTAAAAATCTGTTCAATGTTTATCCACATTATTCATTAGTCTAAGGTTTAAATTTTAAGTGAATATCCCAAATTACAATTTCAAAAAAAGCTTGGTTTACTGACAGAAATTAACAACGTAATTTCAAAAGACCCTTTATTTAGAAAAATATTTGCGTCATTCACAAGGGAACACTCTAAACCTTTGACAAAGCAAATTAAAAAGATATCATTGTTTTTCTATCTATTTTTCTATTTATGACTATTGACCGTGTGTTAATAAGAGAGGCTGTACCGTTGGGTCCACCACATACTGGGTACACGTTTACGGGCCGGTACGGTAAAGACTTGACTGGCATCCTTGTATTGCTTCGGTTTTATTTAAAAGGAATTCTCAAATATTTCTTTTAATTATATATCAAAGAAGACGTTAGAAATGGTGCCTGGATGTTGATTTGAGTATTTTTATCAAAAAAGTACCCAACAGTTTCATCCTCAATTATACTCCTACCTCCTCCGTGTTTCTGGCAAAGGTATGGAAACCTCCAGATATTTCCCAGACCAACACAGAATCCGAGAATTGTGAAGAAGAATTGAACAGGGCTGTCCCAGGTCATCCTATCAACCAGATCAGAAACTTGACATTTTTATACATTTTCATAAAATCCACGCTACGCTATCATCACTATTATTCAAATCTCCTTTCAAATTATAAATAAAATTAAAGTGTATCTTAAATTATGTAGAGATCGTGTGTTAAATGAAATGTTCAGTAGTTATATGCAGTTAATAGTTTTGTAGTGCATTTTGTATTGTGTTTAGTAGTACGTTATGCATTAGATTTTTTAATACTTAATGCAAGACGTAAGAAGTAATGTAATTGGTATATAACGTAATGTAGGTACATTATGTTTTTTTCGATACGTTAGTACACTGTATACGGTCGTACTGCAAAGTGTTTTGAAAAACCGAAATTCCGGGTCCAAGGAATGCGTTCAGGGCAGGTTTAGAGAAGTCAAGCTGGGTAATAAGGAATCCATCTAATAATATCGCTAGAAAGAAAATATTTGAAAAAAAATGTTCTAAATTTCCGGTAGAAAGTCGGTAGTCATTCAATACTCTTCAAAAGAGTAAGGACAAACTCCTGATGATGCCAAAGTTTTTGGCGAAATATATTGAGAAGAAAATTATATAATTCTAGTGCTAGAGAGTAGGGTTGGGATTTGTTTAAAAACGATCTAAAGTTTAGAAAAAAATAGCTGGAAAAAGGAAGTACAAATTGAAAAACATAGAATTTGTTTGGTTCCATGGGAAAAATAAAGTTCAGTCATTGTTTCGAAGATTGCAATACTATAGTCAAACGAAATTTTTTGCCGTAACTTGGTCGGATTTAATAGAAATAGTCTATCTTCAAGAATTGAACACTTTTAAAACATAATAATGGAAGGACGCGGATTTCAAGGTGGCTCGGTCGAGAATATAAGGAGATTTAGACTCGGGCGAGAAATTGTTGTGGCTCGGCCTCCTCCTCTAATGCTACCGATTTAAGATATCTTTATCTTTAAATAAAACCTCTAGATAACATTGAAATAAGAATAATAACAAAACCGTTCATTCATTTTCTATAGTAAGAAATCAATATTCTACTCTTATTTTCCAAAAAAAAATAATTTATATTTTCAACGAATTCATAATATGTATAAACATACAATAAGTTGAATCAATCAAAACTGAATAATTGAAAAACATATTTTAAAGAAATTGAAGAATAAATGTTTCAATGATATGATTTATAACACAGACTATGAATTATAGACTATGACTATAGAGAGCAGAGATTAAAGTTAAGAAATTCAAATTCAAGAATACATGCATTAAATAAAATTTTATTTTAGTTTGAAACCTCACGCGCATGTTTCAGAGTTTGTTTACGTTTTAATGTGACGTATGAGGAAAGCTCTGAAGTTGTTTTCGTAAACAATAACAAAGATTTTATAAACAAGGCTTGGTATAATCCTGAGCCCGAAATTTAAAAGAGTATCGTTGAACAAAAATCTCGAGTTTCCTTTTGGGGGTCTTAACATTTTGTAGATTTTGATTTAAGAGATTCGACAAAAATGGAGAATATGAAGAAACTAAATAAAATAATATTTCATGACAAAAATAAAATCCCATTATAACACGGGTTTTAAAACTGGTTTTCATAACGAATAACGATACCCTGTCTTAAGCTTTGGGCTCTGGTGGACTGGCCTTGTTTACAAAATAATGTTTGTTTACAATAAAACTGGTTTTATAGCTTTCCAAATACGTCACAGTAGAATTACGAACCTTATCTATAGTTTTATTTCTACTTTTTAAAGGTTTTTAATTTGTTTAAAAACTTTTTGTTTTAAGTTTCTTTCCTGGTATCATCGATGTCTAATCTAACCTCCTTCCCCATTCTTAATTCTAATATTTCTGAAAATAAATTTGAAATTATTTTAAATATTTGTATGCTTACTAAGCAATATTTTAATTTTACAGATAATGTTTACATTTTGCTTTTTTGCATTTCGGTGTGTTTGCTGTTTGCATGCTGGTGTGCAAAAAGTAATAATTATGCGTATTTTATACAGACAAAATTTAATTTACATAATATCTATCTCTAATGGGATTATACGATTTGAATAGACAGATAGATAGATAGATCTTACCGACTTTCTAATTCTATTGGTCCTGAGTAGTGAGTACTAACCATGCACGTGAGTCAACCCTGATTGGATCTGACGCTACTGGAGGAGTGAAACTACTGTGGCAAAAAATATATAGATAATTTCCAGGGTATTTAGGTCGAGTGTAGACTTAATTCTAAGTGATCCATAATTTATAGACTGAAGGTCCGAATCACTACGGTACCTTAAACCTGCGTCTGAAAAAGGAAAAAATTGGATATCATAATTTTTCTCTCTGATTATTGATAATATTTTTGTTGTGATTTTCCATTAAAGTGGCTTATGGTGTTAAATCTACAAAAAAAATCAAGATTTCAACAGTTTCAGTAGAAAAACGATGATATGTTTCTCATCGTTACTCAGATGAAGGTATAAAGATTACCGTTATGAGTCAAATTAGTCTTTTTTTTTAATTGGCGGGTCACTTGAAATCATTGCTTCACTCTAGCTAGCTCACATAGAATCAGAATGCTATGAAAAGTTTGTCGATTTTTTAGACCGGATCCATTTAGAACTGTCACAACGCCTTGGCCTTTATTTACCTTACTATCAGTATATCACTTATACTTGTGTGTAGCCGATGACAAGTATTATACATTCTATAGTTTTGAGAAAGATACTGGCAAATTTTTCAACGATTTTTGTGTGAGAGCTTGCAACCTTTAGATCACTGTGTGCCTTGCAACCTTTAGATCACTGTGTACCTTGCAACCTTTAGATCACTGTGTACCTTGCAACCTTTAGATCACTGTGTACCTTGCAACCTTTAGATCACTGTGTACCTTGCAACCTTTGGATCACTGTGTACCTTGCAACCTTTAGATCACTGTGTACCTCGCAACCTTATTTATAAACAAATATTAATTATCTGGTGGAAAATTCATTCACTTTGTAAACCATGTTTATTATTTATATTGATCAATTAGTTAATCTTACAATACACCATACATTTAATGCAAATATTAGAAGGGGGACACACCGTGCTTTGCATTTGGTGAACGTTTGTATAATAGTGAAAATAAAATATATAATTTTTATTATTTTTCTCGTAATGAAAAAAATCAATCTCAAAAACTCTTTCTTTTATGCAATTACAAAAGTAAATTTTTCAAAATATAGAAAAAATAGAAAACAAAAATGTTATTTGTTAATGGTAATTATGTTAAATTACTGCTATATTGTGCGCTAGCCCAATTTTAAAATTATAACAGTGTACCGCAAAATTGATTTAACGCTTAAATGAAAATGAAGAATTTAAGGAATTTTATCATTTCGGATGCTGTACACAGTTATTTATTAAATTAAAATATTTACAGATCTGCTGGAAAGTTACTAAACAATTAAGTTTATAATTTAATTTGTAAAACATATCAATCCGGTGAAATATGATATAGGATACCAGACACCCCTTCCGTAATAATAGGAAATCAGATTTATTCCAATTTCAAATATTTCGTTGTAAAAGATCATTCAATAAATCGATCTACAATAATGTTAATGGAAGGGCAAAAAGAACATTTTCGAAGTTAATTCACTAATTTCATGTGGAGTGATTTTCTGTTAATGAGAAATGATTTTTGTAAAACAGAAGAAATTCATCCCGCCAACATATCCTCCACATAGATTCAGTCTGCTTGTAAAAAATTTCAACAGTTTTTTAGACTGGGTCGAATTTGAATTGTCACAACGCCTTGGGCTCTGATTTACCGCTCTAACTTACTTATACTTTTCTGTAGCCCTTTACATGTACATTTTAACACTTTAAAGCACTTGTTTTTAGCTTTGGTTTTAAGAAGTAATTGACTAAATTCTCAAAGATTTTTAGACCCTGGCCCTGACCTAACTGAACCTGGCCCTGTCCTAACTGATCTTATCCCTGCATAACTGAATTATCTACCACTGTCCTAAAAGATCATACCCCTGTCCTAACTGAATTAGCTTAACCCTGTCCTAACTGAATTATGCTAACCCTGCCCTAACTAATCCTATCTCTGTTCTATTTGAACCTAACCCTACCCTTACTGAATTATCTGCCCATGTCCTAATTAAATTAATTTACTCCTGTCCTAACTGAAATATCCTAACCCTCTCCTAACTAATCCAATATCTGTCCTATTTAAACCTAACCCTGCCCTAACTGAATTAACCTAACTCTGTCCTAACTGAATTAACCTAACCTTGTCCTAACTAGATTAACCTAACCTAACTGAATTAACCTAACTCTGTCCTAACTAAATTAACCTAGCCTTGTCCTAACTAAATTATCCTAACCCTGTCCTAACTAATCCAAGATCTGTCCTATTTAAACCTAACCCTGTCCTAACTGAATTATCATAACCCTGTCCTAACTGAATAACCCTACCCTTGTCCTAACTGAATTATCCTTAATTTGTCCTAACTGAATAAACCTATCCCTATCCTGATTAAACCTAACCCTATCCTAATCGGTTCCATATATTCGTTCGAATTTAGTTAGAATTTTTTTTTGTTTTTAGAGACAACTCCTTGTTTTATAGAGATATCTTTTTTAATCCTTGTATAACCATTTTCACTTTGATCACACTTTTAGTTTCAGATCAAAAATATACAGGTGTTACGAGGTCGCTGTACCATATATTCTGCAAAAATTAAACCTCTTCTTATTGTGGAGATAGTAATGTGATTTCAGTTGGTTCTTTTTTGGATAGTTTTATGCCTATATATTCGTTTAGGGTCGAAATTTGGCAAAGCAATGTTCTTGATTTGTTATGCTAAACATTTGCTTTTCTTTAACCGTCAAATTTTGAGCCCGAACAGAAGATAAATGCGAAAAAAGACCCCAAAACAAGACAAAAACGATCCAAAAACGAATTTATTGTAACGATCGTTCAATTTTGTATTTAGGAACAAGACAATTGCAAAGTTTAACAAAATCAATTGTTATCATAATACATCTTGGAAATCTTGGACGTTTTATTGAATTTTTCTTTTCAAAAAAGATTCATTAACGATCGAAAACAATCCAAAACGACCCCAAACGACCCAAAACGATCCAAAACGATCAACAACTCTAACTTTATTCAGTTAATGTGCCGAGCAGAAGATTATGTGTTTAACTAGAATCTAGGATTCTCTGGGAAATGAAAGGATTAACGATGTCTTTAATTTTCTACGTTTTGTTGGGTTTCTCCTATTTTTAATCAAGATTTGACTTCTAAAGAACTTTATGGTTTCTCAAGAAGGAGTAAAAATTTATACCCACATAGGTTGAGACTTCAGAGACGATTGTACGGAATTTGTACTGTTCGTTTCCTTATATTAATAGTTCCCAACAACCGTTAACTTGTTTCGTTCTCTGCAAATCGTAAAATACTCCATTAAACGACTAAATTCAAGGGAGTAGACTTTATTCAACCTGGGAATAATCATATCTCAAGAGTTACAAGTCGTCTTTACAATCTCATCCTATGTGGGTAACCATGTTTGTAAAACAACTCACATTTAAAAAATAACTAACAAAGCTTTCTGTACACCAAACAATTGTACTGCGTCTGCAGTTTTTAACTGTTTCAGAATCATGACTAACTTTTTGCGTACATTGGCTTAAGGACGCTAATCTGTTTCTTATGGTTATTTATTACTCAATCGCGTCATTTGCTCGAAATATATGCCTTCACAGTCGCTATATGTATCTTATTAGCACCAGACCTTAGGCTTCTTTAGCCACACGCTTGGCACCTAAGCGTAGCGGTATTAAGAAAAAATAAAGTTTAAAATCTATATTAATCTATCTGAAAGCTGACTAATGGTCATCTGACCATAATTACCAACCATTTTAAACGAAACCCCGCGAAAAAAATATTGTAAATAAGATGAAGTACACCAAACCTAAATAACATTTTATAGCGCAAAGAGTATACTGCAGAGCAGACAAAGTTGTCTGTCAGGGTTTAGAGAAAATGGTCAATAGACAGGTCACAAAAATCAAATTGCAAGAGAGTAAATGGCCATAAAGCACAGTGTAATGAGCAAATTTCAGGACGCACAGCGCCCTTTTTTAAATATGATTGCAAAATTTTGAACGCTAAAAATATTCTAAAATTATCTTTAAATGGCCATATTCTTACAGCTCCAAGTTTTCCATAGAACTAATCTAATTAAACTTATTCTCGAGTATTTATCCCATGATCTTTCTAAACACATGCTTTGAGTTTAAAATATTTAAAGTTTAAGCGGGAACCGTATAAAAGTTGTTCTCGGCTGCACTCTCAACACTGCAGCTTTCTTCAAGGTCTGTAAAGACTGTTTAACGCTTTCTCAGAGAAAGTTTAAAAACACTAACGGCGTGAAATCCAGCTGATCATAGATAGATATTAGATGCGTAACAAAAATGGATAATTTTTTTTCGGTAATTAAAAAAATCCGTGGGTCTTTTGTTAACTGTTTTTATTTAAAAAAAAAACTTGAATCTTTTCAAATAGCCCTAAAATATAAAATAAGGAAGGTTATCTAAACCATGAATGTTAACATTTATTGTAAATAGACCTACCCCCATCCTATACCCGGCCTTTCGTTCTAAATCCAGGACTCATCTTTCAAATTCCAAATTTCTGTTTGGGTCCGTAGTATACGATTTTTGCCCACCCCTCTCCCCGCCCTCCCATTTCCCATGACCATTAATTTTAAGTTATTTTGTATTATTTTAGGGTCAGGTTATGTTAAGACAATTTATGGGCCGAGCGCTGCGGTCAGGACTGGCTAGG